AATCTTCGATACCTCCCTTTCCATGGAGGCGCAGATTGCAGCTACAACAAAGGCGGCATTTTTCCATCTCCGCCAAGCTAAGCAGTTGGCTCCTTACCTCTCTCGCCCTGACCTAGCCACTGTGATCCACGCGACGGTCACCTCCAGACTGGATTATTGTAACTCGCTCTACGTGGGGCTGCCCTTGAGACTGACCCAGAAACTCCAGCGGGTGCAGAATGCTGCAGCGAGACTCCTTACGGGGTCTTCGCTGCGAGATCACATTCACCCGGTGCTATACCAGCTGCACTGGCTCCCGGTGGAGTACAGGATCAGGTTTAAGGTGCTGGTTTTAACCTTTAAAGCCCTATACGGCCTAGGACCCTCGTACCTACGGGACCGCCTCTCCTGGTATGCCCCACAGAGAAACTTACGGTCTTCAAATAAAAACATCTTGAAGGTCCCAGGCCACAGAGAGGTTAGGCTGGCCTCAACTAGAGCCAGGGCTTTTTCGGCCGTGGCTCCGATCTGGTGGAACACTCTGTCACAAGAGACCAGGGCCCTGCGGGACTTTGGCCTTTGGCCAGGGCACAGCCTGACTCCCTCCCTCGGCAATCTTCGCGGAGCTCTGGCCCAATGGTTGCCAGTGGCTTGAATTAATTAATTTTATAATGAATGATTTTAGAGTGTTGTTTGTGCTGTACTTTTGTACTGTTTTATTGTTGTACTTTTGTACTGTTTTAACTCTAGGGCCACAGGTTCCTCTTCTTGGATGTATGTAGGTGAGGAAGCTGAATCATCGGCTTCCATCTCCTTACTTCACCACTTCAGGTAGTTTTCTCCTCTGCTCTGGCTGAGAAATACTTTACGCAACAGTGTGGGGTGCCATAGCAAGGTGATGCAGGTCAGGGTTGAGTTCACCTCGCCTGTGCATACCTTTGGTAAAAATCGGGCACCTTTCACCTCATATTCAGACATGTGAAGAACAAACATGGCTAGCCTCATCTTGCCTCCATTGATCAGTAGCAATTAACATGTTAGTCACTATAATTCAGAGACATATTTTCAGCACTGCTTTCAAAACATGTAGGGAAGAAGAAACTCTTCTGCGTTCACAGTGTAACCAGCATGCAGATCTCTTAAATATGTTAAATGGAGCCCAAGGAAGGTACACTGGTTGCTAAAGGAACAGTGAACTCTTTTCTCTTGGGTTTTTCTGTTACTTTTCTTCGGACAAAAGCTCCCCATAGCAGTGCTCCCCCCCTCCATACCAGTTAACATCAAAATGCTGTCTTTGTTTAGAGAGTAGGTGTAGTAGTAGTTTCCCAGAGATGGGCAGAATGAGCGAATTGTAAGAGCGTTTCTGCTTTCACTGTTTATAAATTCTGTGGCGAACCCTTGTTTTAATCAGTACAATTGTGCTCTTAAATGCGCACACTATTGGACTAAGCAAATCAAAATTTTGCTTTCAGAATAAACTATGGGAAATGGATTTGCTCTGTGACTACTATAAGGTGTAAGCCAAAGTTCTTTGGGTTTCTGTGCTTTCAGCAGAGAGTAGCGTGGCCTACACTTTATCAGAATTTTCTCTAAAGCCATAGAATCTTGCTTTATTCTTAATCTGAAAGCTAGAAGCCTCAGGAAGATTTTGCACAGTACACACATACCTGCCTGCTCTTCCTCTTTGAATGGTTGTTGACTAACCATGTTTATCTGAAAGCTGTCAGGGAGTATCTTCAGCTGCTTTGTGTTTCCAGCGTAATGTCTTGAAGCAGCAACTCTGACATCTTCATGGAGAAATGTGCAAGTTCCACAGTTTAATGATGCACATTAAGCTCATGCATATCTTTTCAGGAAAGATGGATACCTTTTACAACTTGGTTTTAATATTGTATTGTTGCACGCCACCCTAATCTCTGAGCGGTGCTAGATTCCAGGAGTTCCAGGGTTTGGTTCCCTTGGAATGAGGGACAGTGGAGACTGTGGTGCCTTCAAGATATATGGTTTATTTACACAACCTGAGCCTAACCCAAGAAGGTATTGCTTCTCCCCTACCCACAGCCTTGGATTCCAGCAGAAATCAAGCATTTCTCTCCTTCACCGGCTTCAGCCTGCAGCCTGGTTCTAGCTCAAACACACAATTCTGGCTGATGCTTATCCTTTTAATTACCAGCCGGTTGAGGGAGCTTCCTTTGTTACCTTAACAACCCATACTTAGGCCATTGCCAAGAAGCTGTCCTGGCAATTCCAGCAATTGAATACTTGTTGAATCCAGGAATTGGAAGGGATTCTGGCTCACAACATTTTTAAATTGTTGCAACCTGCATTGGGACTTCAGTGTGAAGGGCAGGTAAGAAATCAAGTAAATTATACATACATACATACATACATACATACATACCTGAAATTAAACTGGAAGTTTTAAAACATACTGTGTGCGAATCACTCTGGCATACATTCAGAGAATACTGAGCAGTGTGGTTTGTTAAGAGTTGTTGGGAACTGCAACTATGTAAGGTGCCCAGAATTATTTGAAGGAAAAAAATATGCCTTAAACTTATAGTATATACTAATTTTAAGCTCTTAATGTGTACACAGCCTCCCTACACCCCGATAACTTCAAATGTGCTTTAAAGCAATAGTGTATACAGTATTGTTCTTTTTCTCAATTCAGATTGAAGCTGGTTTGGGGGAGGGAATGCATCAAAGTGCAGTATTTAATAATAATAAAAACAAGATAGATATTGATTGTGGTTAATGCCATGTGTATACTGCTTCTTATAGCAGCAGTAGGAGCACACAAGCTTTAGAGTCAATGGGAGCGTGTACACAGCCAAAGAGAGGAGGCAAGTAGCACAGGGAGACCTTTATCAGTTGCCAAGTCAGGTTGTGTATCCATAGCAATATCCAGAGGAGGAAGGACTATTGGGAGGAGCGCAGAGAGAAGAAACGCCATGGTGCACCAGTAGCAGCAATGCCTTCATCTGCTGGATGCCTTCATCTGCCCCAGCTGCAACAAAACATGTCTCTCCCATATCAGTCTCTACAGCCAGAGCAGGTGCTGCAAACTTCCAACAGTTTGATATCACCCCTAAAGGCAAACACTCCTCTATTGTCTTCCAAGTCAGACAGGTAACAATACTTATTAATAATACTTTTATTATTTATTATATAATTTATTATTTATACCCCGCCCAGATGGCAACAATGCAAGACTATCTGAATATACTATATTTTTTTCCTGAGAAAAATCAACTCCCGCACTCCTGAAATGGTTTTCCACATTTGGGATGTGTTTTCTGTACCATTTTGCACTACTATGAGGGGAAGCAAACTAAAGTTGCTCACAGCAAGGAGGACTTCATTGACCTAGGTTCCTTAGAAATTCAAAATGTGGTATCACCCTCACTGTAAACATTAGAGAGCTTCTATGGCTCAGTAACTGCAGGCTGTCATTTAGGGAAGGTAGTTCAGACCACAGGAGCTCTTAAAATGTTTATCCCAAGATAAATCTAAACAAAAAGTAATGTCAATCAAATAGTACCTTTTTTGTTTTTGCAATTTGCACACACACACACACACACACACACAAGCCCTTTCTGTGAATACTTCCACCAGCACATACTGAACACTGAAATAACAGTGCAGAGGGATTGGGGCTTATTGACGATGGATTAAGAGTTAAGGCTTGCTTATCTAATTTAAAAGCTGTTGGGGGCGAGATGCCAGATCCCATGCTGATGGTTCTGTGACTCTGACCAGCTGTCTACTACGTTTAGCTTTCCCAAAGGGCTGTTGTGGCCATAGTAGCATTCAGAATTGCTTCCACATGCAAAACCTTTTCAAACAACAATGGGTTTGTTTTCCTTCCCCTGTTTCTGTTTAATTCTAGCAGGTCATGCTTTGAATGTTCACTGTGTTGTCCTATGGGGTGTATCTGGGGTTTATTGAATAACTGCAGGGACCTGGCTGCTGAAGCCTGCTTCTCAAATCTTGTTCTTTTGAATACTCCCAAACCATCACAGATCTACTTAAGAACTTTGTGTGCCTTTCCCTGAGGGACCCAGCTTTATTTTGGAGAGGAATATTGTGCTGCTTCCCTCCATAAACTCTCCTTTCTCATAAGTTTAAACAAAAGAGAGATTGAGCTTCAGCTGTCACTTCAAATCAAAGAAGAATTATGTGAATATGTAAATGAATGTGCATTGATTGGCTTTGTACACCTTTAAATAACATTCTGGGAATCTCTGAAGAAGCATCTATGCAAATATCACACAAGACCAGTCCTTTGAGGGTAGATTTCAGCAGTCGGGGGGCGGGGCGGGGTACAGCATCATTTTGAATATCCATCCTTTGGCCAAGTTGATTGCCTATAATATTTTGGGGTTTCAAACAGTGAGCATTATTAGGCAGCTGAAATGATCCTAATGGAACACAGTGACGTAATTCTCATAAATATTGGAAATGCACATGTAGTAACTATAGTACCCTATACAAATAGATAATTGTACCAATTCAGAGCACACACATATTTATGGTTTAAGAGCTTACAAAAGGTGTGGAAAATCAGAACACCTTGATATATAAATGCTAGCTGGACAAAAGCTGTGTATGTGTCACTGTTTCACTCCCACCAACTAGCTCCACCATTCCAAGACTAGCTACAATGCAATCAAAGGCAATTCATAGTAATAGGCAATAGTGTTCTTCAGACCATGTTGAGTTCATCAGCCAACTGATTCCAAAACAGCTACTCTCCTGAAGAGCCAACTGCCTTTTGTTCTACAGTTATGGATGGATGGATGGATGGATGGATGGATGGATGGAGATGATGATGATTATAATATACACAACACCATACAATAGGAGGCCAGTAATTTGATGTGTCAGTTTACGGAATATATATACTAAAGAAGGCACAAAATTGCTACCTAATCATCTTCTCCTTTACAAATTTTGATTTCAGATTGCCTCCAGCCATTCTCAAATGCCACGCATTAACATATTTGATATTTGTATATAATAAATAAATATTAGGTATGTGACATCAAATTAGATTTTATATAAGTATTTAACAGTATGGCCCACAAAAAAATATGTGTCTTTTATAGCATTAATAGCTCATACAACAACATGGTGTGTCTCATTGGTTTTTATACTTTGTGCCTTCGAGGAACCATGCTTTACTTGCCTGCCAACTTAGAACCTGTGCACACGGCAGAGGAATCTAACAAAAATATGTCATTTGACTGAAGTGTCATAGTCAGAGGCTGCCATTCTGGTACAGAACAGCCTTTGTCAACCTGGTGCCCACCAGATGTTTCAGAGCATAATTCTCATCATTCCCTGATGTGTTCCAGGTGCTTTAGAGCTGTAGTCTAAAACATATGGAAGACACCACGTTGGCTAAGGCTGCTGCAGAAGGAATAATTGCAGGCTAGGGACTAAGAAACAACAACACTGTGCTTCAACCCCCCATCCCTGCCTTTTATTTTTTTTTAAGAAAGATAAGCTGTGACCTTTTCAGTGAGTTTACAAAATGATTTCTGAACAGCAAATAGTCGTAATCAACACATTCCAGTAACTATATTATATATGAGTGCTCTTTGCATGTTCCAGCTCAGAATTGCAACATATCAGCAAATGCTTTCTGTCTGGAACATGAGTGGTGTTCTTTTTTCTGCTTTTTGGTATTCATTTACTGACCTCAAATATTCCCAGACTCTTACAGGCAGAGTGCTGATTCTTAGTTCTGGAAATTGGGTTGGCGGTTATGGCTCTTATAAGAATTCATGTGTACATATGCACACAAAATCCCAGATGTGATCAGGATGGGTTTTTTTTAAATCAGAAAAAGCTACCAATATCCAACACAAAACATATGTTTTGAACCCAGGTGGATCATCTTCAAAAACTACTTGCTGATTATTATTATCACATTTAACATTTGTATAGTATTTTCAGTTGTTCCAAAGCAGTTTCTGTGCACCATCTAGTTGTAAGGCCACAGACCACATAGTGAACTCATGGCAGAGATAAGGCAAATTAGGCTTTAGGAGGTACTTTTTTCGTATGTCAGTCTATTCGCCGCTGCACTACACCCATTCTTCGCTGAGAGCTAAAGAATACGAAAAGAGAAAAGGAATCAATTCAGCCTGAAATTCCTTACAGAACACGCAGCAACACTCAAAGTATGTCAGGCATAAGATTCTATTAAAATAAATTTCTAAGCACCTTTGGGAGGTTCCTTTTTGGTGTGTGGTTTAGCAATGCAGTCCTATATCATCAAAATAGTTGGGACATGCGGTTGCCTGCAGGACAAGAGACGAAAGAAAACCCAGGTGCTTAATAAACCCTTATCAACAAAGTTCCCATGGATTACTTAGTGGGGATTTTTACAACTGCACTTAGGGGAATTTCAGTTTTGTTTCATTCTCCAACAACTTCTCCCTTTGATGTTCCCTCTCCCTGGTTTTCCAGCACCTACCACCTACACGTAATTGAATAATTGGTGATAAACAAAAACAAAAACAGGTATTTTTAGACAGCATGTAGCAGGAAAAAGATGAAAACATGCAAGCCGACGTTGGCAAAGAAAGTAGGTTAGAACAGTACATAGTTTCACATATCCTATTTATTTACATGTGAACGATGAAGTCTATGTTACTACTAGTTTTATTTTCCTAACATCTGTGATGCCAAAATTATTAGTACATAATATTCATAAATGTTCAGCAACGTGATAAATTGTATATGTGGATGATATACAAAAGGAAGTGAAAAAAAGCTCCCTGGACTCATTCCATTAGATTTATTGAGAGCTCAGGTAGAAAATTAAATTTCTTGCTATTAAAAGCCTATTCAGGTTGCTCATCGGACTTAAGCCAGATCAGGCCAATGGCACGTCAGACTCCTATATTCTTGACAAGCAGGTTTGACTAATTTCCAGGTTGCCAGCTGACCCAAAACACATTGTATAGTTTCATTAGGAAAGTATGTGAGCTGGAGCTGTTTTTATTGTGGCTTTCTTCAGTAAAATTTACAGGAGAATGAATTAGAGCTTAATCAGGGTTACACACACACACACACGTATTTAATAAAGTTGACCTTTAACATAATGGGAAGCTATTCAACCTTTGGCTAGGATATCAAACATCTCTTGTTCATCGCCTGCATGTTAGGAAATGCTTGCATTTTTCATCAGTGACTCATGCATTCTATTTAATACAGAATTAATGCTTAAATGTGGCTTTTGGATGTATGTTGCCTTAGGATTACAGAACTAAAGGGAGACATACTCTGGCTTCTGCCACCAGCCAGTGTGCTAAGGGCCAATGGCAAGCTGCACACACAGCTTCCCCAACAGATTTCCATGGCAAGAGTAGACACCAACTTTAACCCATCCATTAGCCAATGAAGGAGCAGCTGCCAGGAGCTTGCTTCCTCTTCCCCAATGAGAAAGAACACACTGCTCCATCTACCAGTTGCTTGGGACTGCAGAGCTGAATCTGAGCTCTTCCTCCAGGCAGGTGATTTGGGACTGAAGTTGCATCTGCTGCATCTCAGGAAGATCATCATGGCAAGAGACCAACCTAGTCCCATCCATTGGCCAGTGAAGGAGCTGTTGCTCCAGTGCTTGCCTTCCTCTGTTCTTCCTTTTTCATTGTGTTATGATACGTCTATGGGTAGGGATTGACTGAACATTTTAATGCATGCGCTGTACTTTATAAATGTTGAATAATAATTGCTTGAACCATTTTGCACTCAACAGTACATGGGAATCTAAAACCAGTGACCTAATTTTTGAATGCTGAAAACCAGAATGGAACACATACACTTTAGCAAGTGTTGCTCCTTTCAATTGTGCATTAGTGATGCAGATACACTACAGTATACTGAATGAATTCTTTGTCTTAATCACAGAAGATGTAGGGGCAGACTACAGACCTGTGTGTGAACTGACAGGAGTCTATAAAGAACTGAAGCAAATAATGGTGAGAAAAGAGGTCATTCTAACCTTTACAGACAATTCAGTATTAAGAGATGCAAGTATATAGATAGTATCAACTCAATAATTCTAAATAAAAATACATAACAAATATAATCCAAGAATGGTGGTGGCAGTGGAAGGGGAGGGACTCATATTTGTGAAACAAGATCAGCAAATCTTAGAACCATGTTGTGAAACCCCACCACACGTTGACTTGTCAGACATTGAGCAAAAAGCTCCATATAGGATGCTTAACCTAAAGAAAAACATGGATATAATGAAAATAATAGCACCTTGCATATCCTAATTGAATGTGGGGGGTCATAATTTATCCAGGTTGGGATACTCCAACCCAGATCTGAGCTATGAATGCAAAATAATCCACAGATGAGTGACTGGTACAAAATTGCATGTCACTAAAGGTGGCCTAGGCAATTGGTACTATGTGGTTATTACAAGAAAAACTCAATGTCTTTCTTCCATCCCCACAACTATAGCATTGCTGCAGACCATTATTAGAAGAGTAGGCACAATACAAGCATAACTCCACAATAAAAAGAACCATGACATTTTATTTCATTGAAAGTGATGTTTTTACAGTGATTCTTCACTCAACCATTCATTCAGGCACATATTAAAATTTGTTTTCACCAATAGTTTTAGAGACAATTATACCACAAAGGATTCAGGTACGAGGTAAGAATAACAACAATCTAGTTCTGTACATGCTTGTTTAGAATAAAATCCCAATGATTTTGTTGGGACTTGCCAAATTAGCAGACATTAGATTGCAACTCTATTATCATTTCACACTTCAATCAGAAAGAGATAGCTTAAATGTGTACCCTTTTTATTAAGGTTAGACTCCAATTTTGTACCACCCCATACCCAGTGACATGTTCTGTACAACATTTAAGTGTTGGTGTACCAGTAAAGCCACAAACACCAATACAATACAACTGTTTTCTTCAGCAGAAGCATTTGATCTGAAGAAACACTTTTAAAATGCAGTGACTAGAGGGAATGTGAAGTCAATAGGTAAGAAAGTTTAATTTAATGGGAAAGTAAAGTATATGCTGGCAACCTGTAAATATAGAATATGTCTGAAGTGGAACTTTGTCAGTGTTCTACATTATTTGTGCAATTTAATTCTGAAGTCAATCTGAGTGAATTCTGTTGAACATACTACAAAAAAGGGAAGAATCCTCATGTGCATCTTCCACACATAATTCAGCTGTACTCAGCTGTATTACTAGGCTCCCAAATAGGATTTGTCTAACCCCACTGAACAGGAGCAGAATGCAGTGTTCCTTCTTTAGTCCTCCCTTAACTGACTGGTTAACAAACCACTGAGCAGCAGGCTTAGCATTGCATCTGAGCCAGCACACGTATGAAGCATTAGGAGAAAGAACAAACCATGAATGCTGGTGTAGATATAATACCAAGCTGGCTGATCTGTGGTTTGTTACCCACACAACTAAGGGAGATGCAAATTGGGAGCAGTATGATTCAAAAAAGCTTAAGTTGTGACTTAGTGTTATGTCCAAACACAGTCATAGAAATAGAAACCCCAATACTATGACACCAAAAGCCAGTTCTTCACCAGAAATTACCCTGTGACAGTTGTGGGAGAAGGGACACACTGTAACAAGAAAGCCCCACAGTATTAAGTTAGTGTTTAGAATCAAACTGTTGCACTTAATCATTTTTACTAGTAAACTTTTGGAATTGTACACTATGATGCAGTTTCACATAATATCTACCAATTATTGTATCACTAGTTTATGACTGAGCCCTTAGCTAGTGAACAAAGTTGTTGAAATTGCTATAGTACCGTAAGTAACAACATTCCAAGAATCTAAAAGTTTAAAAATCTCTATAATCCAAAACTAAAGACTAACAGTATATGCAAGTTTTTGTATTTAACTCTTAGATCAACATTTAAATACAGTACCTATAAAAATACAACATTGTGACAGCTATACCAGTACTTTAAATATGGCAGAGTCAACATTTAAAAATAGAATGGTATGGAACATATTCCTCTTAGAGATCATACAGGAAAGTTGAAGTTAGCAATATTCAGGTTATTTTAAAGAAATCTGCAAGGATATTCTACTTCAGACAGTATTCTGCACTGCAGAATTGTCAAACTCTGTATTCTTTGCTACAAAGATTAAACATCTAGTGCTGTCGTGCAGAGTGACACTTTGGAACATTTCTTTTGCTACAATAAGTTACATGTTGGCAGAAAGATAGAGACACCACTGGCATCCTTCCTACTGAAATGTGAGTGGAAGTGCTCAATACACTCCTTTCTTCTGTAGTTTGCTTTGTTTTACAAAAGGCACATGTAATTATAGCTTACAAATTAAAACTGATACTGCCTTTGCATTTGTTCTAGCTTGTGTGCATACAGAAGAGGCTTGTACAATAAGTTGTTCTTCATCATTCAGTTTCTTACAGTAAGGATTTTAGACAGTGGCCTCATTCATGCATAATACAAACCAAATGATTTAGTGTGAACAAGCAAGTTAGTTGGTATATGGTGAGAAAATCATTTGCCACTTTGTTACTCCCATATAATTTGGAGCAGAGTCATGACTTGGCTTTATGTTTGAGTTGAACCCGGTCTCATGGCTTACCTCGCTTCAAGCAAACCATGACCAAGGTTTGGTATTGGCTTACTACTAGGGCTTTGTTTATAGGTCAAACCACAATCCCAGGTTGGGATACAATGCTAAGCCAAACCATGGCTTAGCCCCAGTAGCATGACAGCAGCAGGAACAAAGTGGCTGTGTTTTTCTCACCGTGTACCAGCATGCCTGCTTATTCATTCTAACCCATAATTTGGCTTAGCACTACATGCTAACAAATGAGGCCAGTATCAATGGCATGTTTGTAAGTAGTTTGACTTCATAACTTTTGTCAGACTCCTATCACAGGCAGATCTAGCTGTTCTGGTACCCGGAGCAGCGCACCCCGGGGCGGGGCAAGCTGCCCACGGGGGTGGCATGACAGTGCCTGCAGTGAGCGTCCCACAGGGGGGCGCCTGTGGCAAGCTCCCCTGGGGGTGCCACCCAAGCCAATGTCACACCCCCCAGGGATGACACCCAGGGAGAGCTGCACCACCCTTCCTCTGCCAGTGACTCCTATCACTGACTTTTTGGAATAATATAATAAAAAAAGTTCAACACAAAAGTTTTTCATATAGCTATTTATATGTACCCTGTGCATTGCTTGGATTTATACAGTCTATCAAGAAGTTAAAGCTGCAGTTACTGAAGAGGTTACTCAGAAGTTTCAGATATTAATTCAAGTGGATATGCAAGCTGCAAAGAATTTGCACATTGCCTCTTGTTATGCTTCTGCCAAAGAGTAAGTTGTGAAGAGAGAGAAAGTGTTAGCTTAAATACACACTCTCCTTAGCAAAACATCTAAAATGGCACAGTAAGAGGCCTTGCACAACTACTCCTGTGGTTTATGGAACCTCACATGGTAACATCCAAAGCTGCTTTCACAAACAGTACTGTTCATATTCCATGCTTTAAAAACTGCTTCTATTTCCCTTAGATCAGTGTTTAAAATTAACAGTTCCAAAGTATCTGAAAATCTGAGAAACATGCTTTAGCATTTACTTGGCAGCATTTTGACTTTTATATTCATTTCAGCAGCATCAGAGGTCCAGCCCCAATATCCTTATTGTTGAAGAGAAAGTGCTAATACCACAGATCTCTTATTCATGTTTCGCTAGAACTGTTGGCTTTGGAACAGTTGACATTAGGAACTTCCCCTCAAATATTATTCTTAGTATTCTTTAAAGCAATTTTTTTTCAAGTTTCAAGCTATAAAGTTTTGTTGGTGCTTTTCTACAACACATTTATTCCCTGTTCAAAAGAGGGAACTGTTAAGTAACTTTCTTGCCAAGGAAGACATAAGAAAGCTTCCAAGACATTTTGTAACAGGCTCCAGCAAGCACAATCCATGTGCTCTTAAGATTTCCATGCGTTATCCATTGTACTTGATGCGCATAAGCCTGCAAACATGACAACATTTCATATTCAGTAACTAGGGGTGCAATGACATATCAAACCCCTAATTATTCTCATATACACACTTAAGACAACAGGTACTGCTTCCACTGGTGTACCAGTAAGCATGCGTCCCTGTGCTGCTCCTGATCTCTGGATCACACAGCAAGTGAGTTTCAGAGTGTAGGGGAATCCATTTAAAGAGATCACTATATGGGAATTTTTTGTTATAGTGCTATGAATGTCTCCTGCTCATACCTTCTGAATAAAACATGTCTTTCATTATTAATGGTTAAATGCACTAGCACTTTTCTTCAAGATAAACCCAAATGACATGTTCAGAGGTCATACAAGTGGAAGGCAGCTCACACAACCAATCTCTTTCCCCCTTCATTACCTGAAAAACTGCTCCAGAGGGCTGGAGGGTCTTAAACACTGTGGAAAGTGTAGTACTGGGCTAGAGTAAGGGAGTAATCACCTGAAATCTGGTGGAACTGAAGATTCTTTTGGGAGGAAGAGGGATTGCTGGGGCTGCAGAGGGGAAGGAAGAGAAAGATGGGTTGCAGGACCTGTCTTCTGTACAGGCAACCATTGCTTGCACTTAGGAGCTAACATGCAAGATTCTGTAGTAAATCAGTCTGCAGCAGTCTCCCATTGGCAATAATGAAACAAGCCCTTTCTAGAACTGACTGACTGAGGAAAAGTCTCGTTGAGTACACATCAGCATGGCTCTCGCTCTCTTGACTTTGCAACTAATCACTTAACAAATTAAATGATATTCAATTGCACCTCAACTAGATAGCTACTGAGAGCCGTCTCACAACAAAATCAAGTTACCTTTGGGTACTGTTAGCACTTCCAAGGCTAACTTTACTCAACAGGTAAAGTATGTTTAAAACTCAAAAGTATAAAAATAAAAAGGTGCACTTTTAGGTATAATCACTTTCCCTCTAAATTAATGGCCACCAACTTAGTGCTTCTCAGTCACAAACTCGGCTTGTACTGTAGTTGCCATGCAATTTTTTTAGAATACATACTCTTACCTACGCATTCTTAAACACTTGCCCCTTAGCATTAGGGCTAAACTATATGCTGTTAGGAAGGCACCACAGCATTTTCCAATACTGTACTGTGTTTCCCTTGCCCCTTATGCATTGTAACACTCCCACTCCCTTCTATCTGGACTCAGAAATTGTTTCTGGCCAGGAGAAAACTTGTAACATTGAGGTTTTCAAGGAAGAATTGGTAGGCATGGGAAAAGCTTAACTACACTCCTGTCTGTTCAGTTAGCTTCTATGAATGCCACCCACACCTGCATTCTCTTCGCTCTGTATAACACCAATAAATGACCCTACATTAGCTAAGGATCTCAAGTTAGGCTTTTAAAATATAGTTCTCATTGTGGAATGAACTTGTGTAATATCACTTCAGCAAAAGCTTGTGTTATTAATAATCTTCCATACTCATTTTTAAAACTGAAATCCTTCCACAGAGAAAACAAGCTGTCAAGAGGAAAAGTTAAAGCTTTGCCTTCTTCACACGGTAGTTTTCCATGTGCAGAGATTTTGCTTGTAGGCGAACAAGCCCTCATCACATGCAAGCCTTAAAGGTTCAGCCTAGCTACACGCACCTCAGTAAGAACTGGACCATAAAAACCCTCCAGAAATAGCAGCTCCGGGGACTGTAACCAGACATAAAACTTAATCCAAGTAAAAATATTGAAAACTCAAATGTTAAAGCAAAATAGTGTTTCAGTTAGTTTGGTGAGTTATTAGAATGCCAAGAACCACAGTACTAGCTACTGTTTGTTTACGCCCTCAAGTCCTACTCTGTATTTATCCTACTTAGCCCAGTGCCTGCCTAGCAATTAAAGGCATTGCCCCAGGTAGATTTATCCTCAAGCAGCTCCATCCCGGCAAAGGAAGTGGCATTAGACCCAGCCACCCACACACGCTGCCCCATTTAGGTGCAAGAAAGAACATTCCTTGTTCTACCCGAACACATTGGACTTAGGTCTGAGCTTGAAAGAGGCTTTCAGGGACCTTTCTTCTTGACCTTCCTCCTCTGCATCCCCGCGGAAAGAAGGAGTGGTGTGGATGATCTGGGTCCGGAAGCGGATTTTGTTGAGTTTTATCCTCCCGCTGCCCGAGGTTTTCCTGCTCAGTTCTTTGCCCTTGCCGGGCGCTCCAGCCCCGTCTCCCGCCTCCCCATCGTCCCCGTGGTGGGGCAGGAGGTGGTGGGAGAGCTTATAGGAGATGAGGTTGGCCGGCAGCACCTTGGAGAGCCTCCAGCGCCCGCTGCCGTTGGTGGCCCCGCCGTCGGCCTCGTCCTGCAGGGCCCCCACCAGGCTGCGCACCTCGTCGGCGGTGCTGCGGCTCAGGTAGTGCGCGGCCTTGCGCCCGCTGTAGTCGCGCACGTCCACGTCGGCGTCGTAGGCGCCCACCAGCAGCTTGACCACCTCCAGGTGCCCGTGCATGGCGGCCAGGTGCAGCGCCGTGTAGCCCCCGCTGGTGCGCGCGTTCACGTCCACGGGCAGCCGGTGCCTCTGCGCGAAGTTGACCAGCAGCGCCAGCAGCTCGTGGCGCCCGTGCTTGGCGGCCCAGTGCACGCACGTGAAGCCCGTGATGAAGTCCCGCTTGCACAGCAGCGACGGCTCGCAGCTCAGCAGGCCCTCCAGGCTCTCCCAGCGGCCGTCCGAAGCGCACAGCATCCACGCGTGCTCCAGGGGGTCCAGGGCCACCGAGCCGCCCGAGCTGCTGCCGCCGCCCTCGTCCTCCGCGGAAGACGACGCCAGAGAGGCGCTGTCCGAGTCCCCCCCGCCGGCGGCGGAGCGGCTCCCGCGAGTGCCGCCGCCGCCGCCGCGCTTCAGCTGAGGGGAGCTGCCCAGCATCCGCTCGCGGAAGTTCTTGCGCGCGCAACGTGGGGTGGTGGCGGGGGCCGCCGCGGGGGCCACCCCTGAGGCGGCGGCGTCCTCAGGCGGGGTCTCGCCGCTGCCCGGCTCCGGCTCCCCGCTCTGAGAGCGGCTGTCCTCCTGCTCCTCTCTCTCCTCCTGGCTTCCTCCTCCTCCTCCTCCAGGGGTCGCCTGAGGCGCCTCAGCGGCATCGGGCGCCTCAAGCTGCCGAGGTCCGCTTTCCTCCACGGCGACAGGGAGGCTCTTTTTCTCCTCCTCCTTCTGGGGCTCCTCCGCTTCTCGCTGGGCAGCTTCGCCCTCTCCGCCAGGCTCGGGGGGCAGCCGGGGCCCCCCGGTTTCCTCAGCCGGCTCTGCGGCCGCGACGGCCACCCGGTACTTTTTCCTCAGCTGCACGTACTTGGCCCCGGAGCCGGGCTCTTGCCTGACGGTGGCCACGGCGTTGACCATCTCCTTGAAGCGCTCCCTGGCGCGCGAGCGGCGCTGCTGGTCGGGGGAGTTGAGGTAGCCTCGGAAGTGGTCCAACAGGTCGGCGTTGCGAGCGCGACCTCCCCGCTCCGATAGGAACTGAAGCACGGCGTCCTGGCTCGGCTCCGCCGCGGCCATCGGAGCGCGGAGGGAACCAACCGCCGCCGCCGCCGCCGAGCGAAATGAAGAAGGCTCAGCGCGCGGTCGCCTCCTCCCGCCGCCTCCTCCTCGCGCTGCCCCATGGCATCGTCGCTAACATTTCCCTCAGGGCTCCTGAGGCGGCATCGCCAGGCTCAAATCACGGCGCCGACGTCCGCGACGTCGTTATCGTCGTCGTCCTCGCCGCTCCCTGGCATTATACCCCTTCGAGGCGCTCGCCGCCTCCCTCACGTGACGCCAGCCTGAGGGGGAGCGAGGGCGGCGCCTACCGGCACAGTTTAAATTTGGAGGAGGAGGAGGAGTCCGAGCGAGCGGCGCGGCCCTCTGGAGGGAGGGGCTGTTTCTGTAAGTTAATGAATCTCGGCTCGCCAAAGCTTCTGGCTCCGCCCCCCTATTTCTGAGCGTGGGAGGGGCGGGAGAAAGAGAGCGCCCGCGCGCGCAGGCGGGGCACGCCCCGTCCTGGTGCCGCGCCCAGCCCTTTTTTAATTTCTCCCGTTGACAGCAGACTCACCGCTCCGCCTCCGCCCTCTCCCGAATTGCTATTGGTGGGCTTTTCAGCATCTCCCCTCGTCTCGGGTCGTGATTGGCGGAGCGTTCTCCCCTCCCCTCCGCTCGCCAGGCGGCTCCTCACCGCCGGCTGCATTCCAGCTGCTGGGATTGGGAGTTGCGGATCCTGCGTTCCCTCCTCCTTTCTTCTCTCTCTGGCGCGCGGTGACCCCTCCCCTCTTGCCATGGCTTCCTCCGACCTGGCCCGGCAGATGGTAAGAGCTGCTTTTACCTACCGCGGGATGGGTGGGTGGCAAGGATGCAGACCACCAGTGGCGCTTCTGGGGCTGGGATCCCATGCATGCTTCGTCCTGGTGGGCTTCCTCGTGCGTAGAGAAAAGAGGGGGCTTGGGGTGGGGTTTTTTTTGGGGGGGGCAGAAAAAAGTGCAATTCCGGACGGATTTTTGGCGCGACTCAATCAGTTGCTTTCAATTTGAATAGCTCTGCATGTACGGTTCTTCGGGCAAACTGCTATAGAACTTCTCCCGTCGCCTGCCTTCTTTGTGGTGGGATTCTGTAGGCTCCCTTTTTTTGCCCTGTCACAGCGGCCCCCCCCCCCCGGTCGATCCCTTGCATTATGGTTGTACTCCGTTCCTCGTGCTTGCCAGTAAAAGGCATAAGGTTTCGGGCCACCCCCACTCCTCCTCCTACCATGCGAAGGACAACTGGCTTCTTCACTTAGAATCGAAAGCCCCTTACCGTCTCCCAGTGACCTCATGCAAACGAAAATAGGAATAACGTCATAGCGAACTATCCACAAGCAGGCTGAGCCTATGCATTTTTACTGGGAGGCCTTGTAGGCAAGTCAGTGTGTGTTGAATTGCATTAAGGTGTAGTCATATAATGGTGCAAGGTAGTTATAATAATTTTTGATCTTTGCTTATTATTATAAATTGTGCCATTTTTTGCTTTCCCAAGCAAGTTTCTCCGAAACGAGTTCTGTGGTACATTAAAGACTACCAGATTTGTTGTGGCATCAGCTTTCCTGGACTACAGCTGAGCTTGCTCCATCACATGCAAGTTCTGGTTGCACTTTAGTTTCCATGAAATACCTTAGCACAAGGGTGGGGAATCTCTCTGGCCCTTCCATCTGCCTTTGGGACATTCCCGAGCCACCCTTCCCTCCCAGTCCATGTTCGTCACTGGCTCTGCATTGCATCCTTCTTGGCTGTTTTTCTTGACAGGAACATCTGCTTAATTCTGATAATACCTTTTGCCTAGGTGAATGACAGGGGTGTGTGCGTTTGTCAAAACCAGCTTGCTGTACCAGCTTTAAAATTTGCCTTTGCTGCTGTGCCTACTTTTGTTTCTGGCCCTGCCTACCACTGGCAGTGTGGCCCCCAGAAAGATGCCCAGAAGGGAATGCAGCTCTTGATCTGAGAAAAGCTCTCCACCCCTGGCCTGAGCACTTCCCCTGTACAGTTTTCACAAATCTGCATTGCTCATCCATTTATGAAATCCTCTGGTTATAACTTCTGCCAGTTGCTCCCTGCGAGAGCTCTCCTTTTCTATGACTTCTTGCCTGGAGAATTTATTAGGGCGAATTCATCCAAACTGCTGTATTGGATGTCGTTTAGGAGAACCCTAACTTCCATGTCAACTTAATTGGTAGCAGGATTCATCGAACATAGTGAAGTTTACTTTGAGTAAAGTTTGGAGCTGAAAACTACAGGGAGGAACGTGTGAGGAACGGAATGACTGGGAGAAGCAGGAGGCCTGATAACCTGCAACTCAGAGGGTCAGTGTGGGAGCATCAGATCATCATGATATCCAGGCAACACCAGAGCACCAGTCAACAAAAAGGACTGAAGTGTCCCCTTATTTTATAAAAATGAATATGGCGTTGTGAAAGTATGAGACAGTAAGCCAGCAACTTACGCGGGGGCTACATTTCAGGTATCGCACCTAAAGCAAAAATCACATATAGTCAGAACACATTGAGTTCAATGGCAGGTGGGATTGCATATTACAATTTTTAGTCAGTGGGTAGCCCTAAAAATATCTGCGTTAATCAAATATAGGAATGATGCTTGGAAGGATTTCTGTGCATTGAAGTCATGTCATAGGGAGTGGTAATCACACTGTTTCTTTTACCTGACTTGTTTCAAAGTTGTTTAGATGATCACCATTCTCAGTCATGGACTCTGTCTGATTTGGCAGTATTCTGCATGTAATTATTCATTTGAAAACCCGTTAGTGCACAGCAAATTAATGTCATTAATGCAATGCAAAGTAAGGAACATGTCAGCACTGCGTTATGCTTAGGTCAGTACGCTTAAGGCTTCAGCTCTGACACGCTTTAATTCCATTGAACTGAGAATAACAATAAATTGTTTGTTATGAAGTACTATTATACATAAAACAAAGTGAAGTGTTAAATCTGCCTCCAGCATAATTGAATATCCAGTGGGATTGTGCCCCAGTTTCAAGCATGTAATATAACAAAATATTTTTTTGGTGAACAATTCTATGAAAATCCATTTTGAAGACACGGATGCTGTCCCAATTGGACACTGTTCTGGTGTGAGAAACCAAGACGGTATAATTTAGTCCATTACGAGAGGACACAAACAAAGAAGGCATTTTTATATCTAGAGTCCTGGCAGCATTTAGAATACATATATTGAGTTCATCTTTGACTCAGCTCCAGCTCCATGTAATTATACTGGCCCTGTGTAGCCACTCCGCCCCTGAGATGACTAACTGGTGCCAATTTGAAAAGGACAGCGTGGAGTAACAAAGCAGTGTCAGAACTGCTTATCGTTCTAAGTCTAGACACAAATTCTTCTTTAGAAATGTAGCTGTAAGTAGTTTTTTGTTATGTCAACAAATTTCTGTTTGTGTATTGGGGTAGGCACATCAGTGTGAATCCACTTTCCCCCCCTAGAAGAAGTACCGGTAGATGATACAATAATAATCCTTTGTTTCTGTTGTGCAGGACAAATTATTGCCAGTTTTTTGTTTATCTTCTGTAGTTGCTTATGCTAGATGTCATGTGCTCTGTAAAGACAATAACTATATTTCCATTCATAATACCAAAATTATAATATTTATTTGCTGCCTGGCTATTTAGATGCTGCTAAAGTATTCGGTAATTTTATTATCTCTAGCAGGCACTGAGTCACTTAGTTTCCTGATTAAAACTTGCAACTGCAAGTATCCTCTTTGGCACAAGTTCAGGAACACCAGGAAACAAACCACTTGGTACTTTTGATATGAGTGTTTCAGCATTGTTGTGAAGTGAAGAATACTTGCATCAAGACATTTGGCTGTGTAATGACATCCTGTTGTTTAAATATGCATTTCCTTCTGTTCCATGCTCACTCCTGTCAAACTTAGTTCTGCAGAACTTTTTTTAAACTGTTATTTTTTAGAGCTGGTGTGAGTATCAGGGGTGGGGGATGTTTGCTTTTACTGTATTAGCATTGTTTAACATGCCCTAATGCCTAGAAATCAGGTTGGGCTGTATTATGAAATAGACTCCAGAGAACAAGGTGGGTTTGCTGACATCGTTCCTCCTTAATGTTTGGCTAGGCAGGCAACCTTGCTGCCTTTTGGTTTTCTAATACATGGGAGGAGGGGGGAAACTCAGCCACGCTGCTTACAAGAAGTGACCTGTAGGTTGGAATCCTATGGACACTTACCTAGGAGTGAACTGCATTGTGGTGGCAATCCTATACACACTGTTAAAGAGCAAGCACCATTGCTCACAATGGTGTTCTGTCCAGACACATATAGGATAGCGCTGTGACTGTAGTGGGACATACCTCTGTATAAACATATGTAGGGCTCCACTGTTATAGAAGGACCTTTGAAAAGAAGGGAAATACTTACTTCTAGAGGTTTTCAATACCAGAAGATTTAGGTGAAATGGCACGTAGTGCATCATGTAATGCTACTTTTGAGGTGGTCTCTTGATTCATATAAAACGTTAGCTTATTTTATTTGAACCTTGGTCTTTGGCTTTTCAGATATTAACAGTGGTGCTGATTCCAGAATGAAGTTGGTGTCATATTACAAAGATGTTCTGAGCAATATGTTAGCGGTTTTCTGTTGCTGCTATTATTACGTCGGTTCTGTGAATTTAGAAAGATAAAGCTGTTCATAATAAGTCTGTTGGGTTCAAAACTGGATATTCTGTAGAAACGACAATACAATTTGGCTTCCTGTGGAATTGCAAAGCTGCATCTTCAGTTGTGTCTTGGCTCTTGCCTTCTTCATGCTGGAAACCTCCAAAATAATTCTGAGTGCTATTCTAGGCAGGTCTACTTATAAGTGTCTTGCCAAGTGTTCTGTGGGGCAGACTCCCATATACTGCTATTTTTTTTCTGATGAGAACAAGACAAAGTGGGCCTTCAACATGGCATTCACTTCTATTTTTGCTTAACCAAGTTTTGTGCCATACAAACTTATAAACTATGGTTAGCTATGGTTTGTTTGGAGCATGCTGTTTTCAAATGGGAGATGCCAAAAACCATCTTGCTTCTTTCTCACTCACACATAGGAGTGTGGCTTCTAAGATGATGTCTACTACAATGTGTGAGCATCATCTGAAAACAAAAAACAATTCAGAAATAATTGTTTTTATGCATATGTACATTTAGCCAATTAATCAATCAAGCAAATAAAACTTTACTTTCATCAAACTTGTTTTCCTTACCTCATTGTTTTAATTTGATATATTCTCTTTAATTTCTTTTTTTTAAAAAAACTGTTCGTCTTATTTCCCCCTCCTAGCGCTATCAATCTGATATCGGAATGAGAGCACCCGCTAACCAACCAGTAAATAATCAAGATGCAAGGAGGGTGAGTAAACAATTAAAAGTTTCTATGGGGATTTTAGTTTACACTACCATTTTAGAACAAAAAGAACAAACAGTCTTCGGGAACTTTAAAGGCTTGTGCATTTATTATGGCATGAGATAATAAATGTGATTATCTTTTAGTGATTAAAACTTGCAGCATAATAAATGTGTGGGTCTTTAAGACGCCATTGGGTTTATTGCACCATAGCTAATGTGACTATCTCTCTGTAAATTGTTACCATTATAGATAACATATGATGAATGTATTTAAGGCTTGTTAATATCGGAAGGAATATAGAAGCCTGCTAAGGTATGCTCTGTGTGAATTATAGTGGTTCTGCCCAGCCAAGTAGAGATTTGAACAAAAATGCCCATGATTGAAGTCATCTAAGATATAATTCAGTTTTGATGATAGAATTTTGACTAGATTGTGCAGCCAGAAGGACCAATAGTAGGGTGTATCTAATTGTGGCGTTTGACTCGTGGTATTACGCTGGTGGTGCTGTGGTCTAAACCACAGAGTCTAGGGCTTGCTGATCAGAAGGTCGGTGGTTCAAATCCCCATGACGGGGTGAGCTCCCATTGTTCGGTCCCAGCTCCTGCCCACCTAGCAGTTCGAAAACACATCAAAGTGCAAGTAGATAAATAGGTATCACTCTGTCGGGAAAGTAAATGGCGTTTCCGTGTGCTGCTCTGGTTCGCTAGAAGCGGCTTAGTCATGCTGGCCACATGACCTGGAAGCTGTCTGCGGACAAATGCGGGCTACCTCGGCCAATAAAGCGAGATGAGCGCTGCAACCCCAGAGTCATCCATGACTGGACCTAACAGTCAGGGGTACCTTTACCTTTTTATTACGTAACAATTGTATTTGAAACACATTAATGAACAGCTGGAGGCACATTTAAAAGTACGTGTCTGTGAACTGATGAGAGTATCTTTACTTTCCACAAAAACTTACTTAGATAAGGTTCCACCAAGTAGTCTGCTAACAGATAAACTAGCCTCCCACTTAAAAGAAAGGAAAACAGTGGACTTCTGTTGCAACACAGGAAAACCTAATACACACATCCTTGTGTTAGATAGGAATTTTCCTAGTACTTCAGTAATTGTTTTACTGATGAATCTGATATATTTTGTTGCTGTCCACTCCAATTTTGCCATGTCATAATAAGTTTTTTTTGTTTTTTTACTTACCATAGTTTAATGTGAATATTTCACTCAGCCCCCAGTGCACGTAGGACAAACAAATTAGGAAGCCCTTGCTTCCTGTCATGTCTGAGCCAGATATAGTGGCTTCTTGCTCCCCAGAAAGCTACAGTTGCTAGGTAGTCTTAAGCCGTGGTTTGTTGGCTTGCTAATCATGGCTTATTAGGGATTCCCAGTTCAGACATACAGTAATGGGAAGCCTTCCTAGGTTGTTTATGCAGCTTGCGCCATAACCAAATTAAGCAGGAAGAAGCAGGCAGTATCCCACGATCATTTGTAGCCAAGTAAGATTGTCTTCCATGAACACAATCTTAACAGTTGAGTCCGTAAGTGACTGTGGAGGCCAATTCTGGATGCACACGTCCTTCCACAGTGTGGACATAGGTTTCCAGGCAGGAGTTGATCATGGTGAGGGTTTGCCAAACGTGCCTTCCTCTTAGCACGTTTCTCTCTTTTGTTCTGAGTTTCAGTGTCTTCAGAGTCCATGGCACCTTTGGTAAAGGTTGTTCTCCAACTAGAGCTCTTTCATGCCAGTGTTTCCCAGTTGTTGGTGTTTATACTACATTTTTTTTAGATCTGCAGATATCAATAAGCCAGAATTTCTGGCTTATTTTTATAAGTGAAAGTGGCTCTTTATCATGATTTAAAGGTCACTTGGGAAAGTACATACAGTAGTGTGTGATATGCTGTATATTTTTGTGTATCAGATATGTACACTGATCAAAATGGTATAGATCTTCTTTCAACTTACCCAGTGCTGTAATAGCAGGAGTCTACAAATTGAGTCAGCTGTAGTAACCACTCCCTTCTGGCAGCCACTTGTGCCCTGGCTCCCAGCACAAAGATCACCACTCTTTAGTTTGGCACATGTTGCAAAGAACTTGGAGGGGGAGGGATTTTCGACAGTGCCAGATGTGGAAGGGGGACAACAGGCCACTTTTCTGTCCTCTGCATGTATAGAGGCTTAAGGAAAGGGAAGGGGTTAGCATCTTGTTTGCACGAGATGTTGGGAAGGCAGCTCACTAGGATTCCCAATGCATTCCTCCTTTTCTGAAGCCCTTCTTCTTCCTGAAACTATCTGCATGTGCAGATGAGGCACAGAAGGGAAATGGGATTTGTCGCATTTTGTGTTGATCTTCAAGGAAAGCAGATGCACGGTGCCTTTCCAAGGCCTCCCCAAAGTCCAATGTTAAGTGAGAGAGCAGCCTCTGCTTACTTCTCTGTGCATGCCAGTAGAATTCGGGTAGAGAAGCCTGGGTCTGTTGTGGGGAATAGCAGTACAGTCCTACCTTGTAATTCAAATGGCTTAGTTGCTGAACATTTTGGCTCCCAAATGATTGAAAGCCGGAAGTGATTGTCTCGGTTTTTGGACATTCTTTTGGAAGCTGAACGTCCAGGGGGGTTCTGCGGCTTCCGATTGGCTGCAGGAAGGTCCTGCAGCCAATCGGAAGCCGCGTCTTGGTTCCCGGACATTTTGGAAGTCAAACAGACTTCTGGAATGGATTCCATTTGACTTCTAAGGTACGTCTGTCTTTTTTCTTAAAAAACAATGTTTGGAGTGGCACAAAGTTTTTTAAAAATGGGTATTGACTCGGAACCAGGAGGAAGGGACGTTGGATAAAGATTGGACTTGTCTATATCATCCTTTTACTCTTTCGTTATTATCAGAATGTTTTATAAAGTTGATGAATGATAGAAAAATGTTGGAAGAAATTACCTGGCTTTAGTAAAGATGCATAAAGAAGTATGAAAGAATATTACGATTATAAGAAGCTGGTAAGGTTAAGACTTAAGTTTTAAACTTTAAGGTTTATTTTATTATAGAAAGATAGGATTAAATTAGTCGAGGGCAATGTAATGATAGAATCTTATGAAACATGGAAAGGAAAGGATTTGCTGGGATAAGTAATAACTAGAATACAAAGGAAGGGAGGAGGAGGTGGTCTACGAAAGTAGGTAATGACAGTCAAGGGTCTGAAAATAATGAACCTGTTTTATTTTTGTTCTTTACTCTTTTTTCTGTATTTTCTTTTTTTTTGGTATTTTTACTTTTTGTATTTTTTTCCTTTTGTTTCTGTGTAACTTTTGTATCCTTTGAAATTTTAATAAATATCATTAAAATAAAAAAAAAAAAATGGGTATTGACTCCTGTACCCTTCTTTTAGGTTTTCCTCTTCCTTGCAGCTAGATCAGAGATGGTGAACCTCAGGCCCTTCGGCCCTCCTTGTGTGGCCCTTAAAACTCCCACAAAGCCACATCTCCCACCAACCTTGCTTCCCTCTCTCTTTGATTGCCTTTGCCCGACTGGGGTGTTTCTTTCATAGATGGTACCTGACTTGGAGAAGGAACTGCAATGGTTAGACCTTTGTAATGTGTGAGCTGAAAAAGCTCTTATTACTGATATTGGCTAAAACTAGAGAAACAACTTTTAAGCTCTTTCATAGATGGTTCCTGACACCACAGAGGTGCAGTAAAACCAGCCCCATCATTCTGCTGAAGGGAATGTGGTCAGATCGGACCCTTCTACCACATTTGGTGATTATGTGAAGCTATAAACATCTTTCAGGAGATTAGCACAGTGACTCAACAGTCAGCCCTTTGTGCCCCACAATTAGCTCTGATTGGAAGAATGGAGACTTGCTACATAAAGAGCTTATGACATCTTTATTGGTGGCAGTGAGGCAACGAGTTGCATGCAAATGGAAGAGCTTGCACAATTTATCAATAGACTGTTGGCAGGAACAAATTTGGCCCATTTCTCCAAGGGAAAAACTTACCAAACAAGTACAGGCTTTAAATGGACAACAAAAAGACAATGGTTTTTAGTGAGATTTGGTATGCATTTATTGGTTCTGTTCTTGGCTAACAATTGCATTTTTTTTAATTCAGGAGGTTGGGGTGGGTCAGGCAGGTTATTTTTGTATATTTCATGATGGTTATTTATTTGCTTGTATTTTTTTAATTAAAAAGCTTGGCAATGAATCACTGGTAGTTATAATAACATTGCAATCTTTTATCCCGATTCACCGTACTCTTTTTCTACAGCAGGGCTGCCGACCTTTATCCTTGTCTGGTCATGTTGGTTTCGATAGTTTGCCAGATCAGTTGGTTAATAAATCTACCCATCAGGGGTTCTGCTTCAACATTCTCTGTATTGGTAAGTAAAATAGCTATCAACAGTATGAATGATTCCATTTTAAATCTCATTCTCACAGAAAATCTGAAGCTGTGAGAAGAGACTGTTACCATTTTCGCTTGACTTTTGCCTGCAGGATAGTTATATTACGTAATTGGGCTTAATTATGCTATTTTTATTACGATCCTTAACTGTGTTTTCAAAATTTATGTTTTCACAAAACTGTTGGTCATCTTTTAACGGATTACTACTCATTTATTGGGACGCGGGTGGCGCTGTGGGTTAAACCACAGAGCCTAGGACTTGACGATCAGAAAGTAGGCGGTTCGAATCCCCGCGACAGGGTGAGCTCCCGTTGCTTGGTCCCTGCTCCTGCCAACCTAGTAGTTCGAAACAACTTCAAAGTGCAAGTAGATAAATAGGTACCGCTCCAGCGGGAAGGTAAACGGCGTTTCCATGCACTGCTCTGGTTCGCCAGAAGCGGCTTAGTCTTGCTGGCCACGTGACCCGGAAGCTGTACGCCGGCTCCCTCGGCCAATAAAGCGAGATGAACGCCACAACCCCAGAGTCAGTCATGACTGGACCTAATGGTCAGGGGTCCCTTTACCCTTTACCTTTACTCATTCATTGTTAGCAGTATTGTCACACTGATTCACATGGTCTTTCCAGACCTATTTAAAAGATGCAGTATGCATATTGTATTTAGCAATCTACTTGAAAGTTGTTGTTATTATTAAAGATTTTAATTGGTTTTCAAAAATACCAATGTGAACATTAACAGAATAATATTTCCCTATAAGTCCATGTTCATGGTCAGTGGGTGCCAGTCACCAGAGTGTTCATTGGAATATTTTATAATATTTCAACAAAATCGTCCGTATCGGATGCATTGTTCAAGGCACATACCCCCTAAGTTATTTTCTCAGATAAAGCAGTTGTCCATACATTCTGTTTCCATTTGAGATGTGCAGGTGATCAAGTCCTTTCCAATTCTTTGCTACAAGGAATCGTGTTGCCACCAGAAGAAAAGTAACAAGTTCCTTGTATAATAAATTAAGCTGAATATCTTTGAAAATTGTTAATAAACCTAGGCTTGGATTACATTGTACGTTCTGATTTGTGATTTTGCTGATTTCTGTAAATACTACTCTTTCCCAGAATGGTTGCACTCTACTTGAAAGTGGAAATATTGCTACAACCCATCCCCACCCCAAAAGACGCTTAAGCTTTTGGTGAAATTCTTGTCTCTGATCTGAAGCAGTCTACAGTGGTACCTCAGGTTACATACGCTTCAGGTTACAGACTCCGCTAACCCAGAAATAGTGCTTCAGGTTAAGAACTTTGCTTCAGGATGAGAACAGAAATTGGGCTCCGGCGGCGCGGCAGCAGCAGGAGGCCCCATTAGCTAAAGTGGTGCTTCAGGTTAAGAACAGTTTCAGGTTAAGTATGGACCTCCGGAACGAATTAAGTACTTAACCTGAGGTGTTGTTGTTGTTTAGTCGTTTAGTTGTGTCCGACTCTTCGTGACCCCATGGACCAAAGCACGCCAGGCACTTCTGTCTTCCACTGCCTTCCGCAGTTTGGTCAAACTCATGCTGGTAGCTTCAAGAACACTGTCCAACCATCTCGTCCTCTGTCGTCCCCTTCTCCTTGTGCCCTCCATCTTTCCCAACATCAGGGTCTTTTCCAGGGAGTCTTCTCTTCTCATGAGGTGGCCAAAGTATTGGAGCCTCAGCTTCACTTAACCTGAGGTACCACTGTACTATTGTGTGGTGCTCTCCAGATACTTTGGATTGCATTTCCCATCAGCCCCAACAATGATTAAAGCAGGCATAGGCAAACTCGACCCTCCAGATGTTTTGGGATTACAAACTCCACCATCTCTAGCTAACAGGACCAGTGGTCAGGGATGATGGGAGATGCAGTCCCAAAACATCTGGAGGGCCTAGTTTGTCTGTGCCTGGATTAGAGATTATGGGAAATGTAGTGCTCAACATTTGAATGGCCCCATGTTGGCTACCCCAGTTAGCATGTGTTGCTAGCACTTGGCCCAGTTAAGAGTGTGGCAACGCATTTATAACTTGTTGTCAAGCTTCTAGTACCAGTTCAGATAAACAGATGAAGTTCTGAATTGGGGTTGAAGATTGGGCTAGAGTATTGCTCCAAGCCCCTAAAGGTTTGCGGGGGGGGGGGGGACATGTTGGAGGAAATATTCTGAAAAACAGCTTTGCCAACAATGTGGCCATGAGTACTATGACTTGGCCACAGACTAATGTTAATCCAAACCTCATCCCACCCCCCAAATTTTCCAGGAACAAGAAATAGCCAACAGCCTTGTATTCTCACGATAGTCTCTTTTGAAAGATAATAAGGTGTAGAGAGAACAAAAAACCCTATAGGCCGAGTTGAGTTAACTTAGTAGGAGTTTTGCTCTCAAAGAAGCTACCAACCTGTCACAAACCACTATGGTATGAATGTTATTCCCATAGAGTGAAAAAAAATTGAGGGTGAAGCGGGAAATACAAATATGGATGAGAGGGAACAGACGGTATAGTACTGTGTGCCTTTATAGGAAATGACATGGTGATCTGACACAGCTACAAAGAAATGCAGAAAGATTGTGTTTTCTCTGAATAAACCCAGCATTAAATTATAACGAATAACTTTTTTCATCCTCCCCCCCCAATGTGAGAAACTTCTTTATGTTGCAGTGAAATTTCTCTAGTTTGTTTCATATAAGTACATGTTTACCTGTCTTCAATTGTAGGGGAGACTGGAATTGGGAAATCAACTTTGACTGATAGTTTGTTTAATACCAGTTTTGATGACCGTGTGTCAACACACTTTCAGCCAAATGTAAGACTTAAAGCTGAGACATACGAACTCCAAGAAAGCAATGTTCGACTGAAGCTGACCATTGTCAATACCGTTGGATTTGGTGACCAGATAAACAAGGAAGATAGGTTAGTATCTGCTCACGTAAATAATGTCCTCTTAATTTGCCCTGTGACATGTCAACTTGGCTCTGACAAGTGGGTGGTATTGATAGTATTTCTGATGCAATTCTATTTTATTTTTTGACATTGTGTACCCACTTCCCCTTTGCTAGAAATCTCTGGGAAGCTTGCAATACAAATGTTAAACAACAATACATTGAACATAATATTTAGAGAAATTGCCCATTTATACAGGCTAATCTGGGAACCATTTATTTTAAATCACAAAGTAAAGCCTACTATCATTTTATCAACAGATTATTTTGGAAAAACACTCCAATCCTAGAGGCAATGGTCAGGAACCAAACGCCTACTGTATGCTTGCCCAAAGGCTTGTTTGTGACCATTGTAATGTCTAATTTTTTTAGCACTGGGCAGCTGAAAGCAGTCTGCCATCTGTGATGTAAGAACAGCCGTTAAAAACAAACGAAGTCCCTTTTGGCTAGATGAACAGCTCTTTGGACTTTGGCCATTTTCTTAGGATTAATTAAAACGATCCAGTGATCATTTATGTGGTGCTGCACGTCAAAGGTGCTTTCTGAAATGCTGCACTGCATGGAAGCTCCCGTGTCCTCTTCAGCTTCCTCCTCCTCTTCCTCCCAGCATCTGCCAGTGCTAGGCAATGATGTGTACACGAGCAGCTCGTGCTGCCCACCCCACAACATGGGATGATCGCTGACTTTGAACTTCAGAGGAAAGCACCTCTCAGGCTCAGTGCAATATGATGTCCGCGCAAGAGCCAGTGTGTTGGTGTGGTTAAGAGCGGTAGACTCGTAATCTGAGGAACCGGGTTCGCGTCTCTGCTCCTCCACATGTAGCTGCTGGGTGACCTTGGGCCAGTCACACTTCTCTGAAGTCTCTCAGCCTCACTCACCTCACAGAGTGTTTGTTGTGGGGGAGGAAGGGAAAGAAGCTGCTTTGAGACTCCTTCGGGTAGTGAGAAAGCGGGATATCAAATCCAAACTCTTCTTCTTCTGGCACAGTGTTATGGCAACACCTGAACCAGGATAGTCTGCCAAGCCTAGCCAAAATGCGTGGATTTCTGTGGCTGTGCCCTTTTTTTTTATTTATGGCAAGCTGTCCTCATGATTAGAATATTATTACTCTGAGCAACTAATATAGATAGGAACTGACTAAAAGTGTGGTTGAAGTAATGCCACTGCTGCTTTATTGTGCCTTTGACAGCTTGTGCATAGCAGGGGGTCAACAACGTTTTGGGGTGCATGGGCCCATTTGCAAATTGAGAAACTGTTGTGGGCAAACACCACAACCAAGTACATGTCACAACCTATTCTACTGCTGACAGCAGAATTCTTCTTTCAAGCCTAATTTCAGCTGTTGTGGGATAGAGGACCCTGAGGGCCTCAGTGAAGGCCTCTGTGGACAAATGGGGACATGGGCTCATGTATTAGAATGAAACTCACCTCTGTCTTCTAATATTATATTTCCCCTCCTCTTTCCAGCTACCAGCCAATAGTGGATTACATAGATGCACAGTTTGAGTCTTACCTCCAGGAAGAGCTGAAAATTAAACGCTCCTTATATAATTACCATGACACTCGCATCCACGTGTGCCTCTACTTTATTTCACCCACAGGACATTCCCTCAAAAGTCTTGATTTATTAACCATGAAAAATCTCGATAGCAAGGTAAGATGTTAAAGCCAGCTTTAGAGGGAAAAAAATAGCAATAATCTTTCTTGCAGCTGAACTCTTAGAGTATTCACAGGGGCCTTTTAAAAAAATATAGCAGCATTATGAAAATAAATTTAACATGTCGTTTTAACTGTAATCCAGTCTTGTTGTCAAGAATGAATAAAGGTTTTGATAAAAATAAGCATTGCGTAAGTGAAATTGAGTAAGCCTTTCCCCGTCCAAAGTTTACTTAAACATCGTTCGTCATGTTCAGTTTTTAAAAGCCTGTTACTTTGACGAAAACTCAGGATAAAGTTATTTTGCCTTTGAACAAGCAAAGGGATTATAGTGCTTCATAACAGAGTTGTAGAGAAGCAATGATGCCTGAGGTGAAATCGGTGACTGGATGCGATGAAATATCTATGCACTCTTACCTCTTCCTGATTAGAAACCTGGTTTTGGTCACCTGTTTGGTGATTTCATGCTCTAGGCCTATTCTTGGGGAAGTGACAGGAATATAGGGCAATGGTTTTTTAGCAGGAAAAGGTCTACTAACCTACCTATAGGGATAAAACAGTTAAAATACTGAGCCTAGGGCTTGACGATCGGAAGGTCGGCAGTTTGAATCCCTGCGACGGGGTGAGCTCCTGTTCCTCGGTCCCTGCTCCTGCCAACCTAGCAGTTCGAAAGCACGCCAAAAAAGTGCAAGTAGATAAATAGGTACCACTCTGGCGGGAATGTAAACTGCGTTTCTGTGTGCTGCTGCTGGCCGCATGACCCGGAAGCTGTATGCCAGCTCCCTTGGCGAATAAAGCAAGATGAGCACCGCAACCCAGAGTCGTTCACGACTGGACCTAATGTTCAGGGGTCCCTTTACCTTTACCTTTACATTTACCTTTATGTACACTAAGCCCATAACTTATGTGCATTAATCTTGTGCTCATTTAACTTTACACGCTTGGCAAAAAAAATAAATAAGGGGGCGAACTTTGGCAATCCCATCCGCCATTGCACCCAGTGTGTTTTGACTAGATGTAATTTTGGCCTTAGGCATGATCCCCAGAATTTAACCCTTGTGTAAGTTGGAGGCTTACTATACATTGCTTTGAATTTACTTTATATTAATTTTGCCTATCAGGAAATGTGGGCTTTTTACATCCTTGCTATTACTGCTTCTTAAAAATCTATGACTATAGCTCATATTGATATTTCAGTATAGACCCTGACACATATGTAGTCTGAAAAATGCATCTAAGAATCTGCCAGATGAAAATATAGTTGTTGCTTTTTTAAAAATGACAGACAATAGAAACTGCTTCTAAAGTGCTAATATACTGATCTCAGCCCCTCTAAAAATGTTGTAGAGATAAACTGTACTGAAAAACAAAGGCAGCATTTCAAGATACTTTTCCTGCTCTTTTTATAGCTTCATGCAATTTCACTTCTTAATCAGTAAGACAGTGAGGAATGTAGGAAATAAATTGAAGCAGCTGGTACCAGCAAGCTAGATAGTTGTGACCAATTGCATGTTTATTTTATGGTTATTAGAAATCCCAACTCTAGATTTAATATCATCTCCTTTTAGAAGTCACATGTTAAAAAGAAAACCAGGAACAGTAGACTTTGCCCAAACAGTCGCTGGGTTTTGTTTGTTTGTTTGCCAAAGCAGTTGCTGGGTTTTGTGTGTGGAAACGTGATCTCTAAAATCAGATGAAATTAAAACACATTTATTAGGCAACTGGAATTCATATCAACTCTCCAGGATGGATGTTTAAACAATTTTTCACAGATATCATTTCAGATAAAAGAATAGTTCATGTATAGTTAAGGTCTGAGTGTGCATATCATCTTAATGAAAGGTGAACAAAATGTTTAGGTGGCCCAATTCTATAGAGCGCATGACCTGCTGGCTTGCTGCATTTTCCAGTGAAGCCCTAGTATGGGTCAAAGCATCTAGATTTTTATCATCCACGTCCTTGGTTATGGCTGTCAACCCAAGCCGCATGTGTGTATGGAACTGTCACTGCCAGCGATGGCAGATGGAGCTGTGTAAGCACGTAGCGTGTGTTTTTTACACCATTGCCAACAGTGAGTCAGTTCTCTTCCTGCATATGTGCAGCTGGGGTTTGTAGCTCTTTATTTACAGAGGAGTTCATGGCGTTGTTGAACTGTAGCTAATTCAAACTAGACTATTTCTAGTTTTAGATTTATATTGATATGGTCTAGGTAAACATTTTGACTTCTGGGGGTGAGGCTTTACATTAACCCATGTGGCATTTTGTTCGGCAGCCTTTGCCATTTCGTTGTGTAAGCTCTTCCATGTTAAATAAAATAACAGCCTTTCATACTTTTTTTTTTTTTGAGATGCAAGTACCATTAACTAAAACAAGTACTCCTCAGAGGGAGTGTAAAATTAATTTAAAACCAAAGAGCAGAGTCTTCTGCACATGATTAAATAATTAAATCGCAGGTTCAGCTAGTTCTATTTAAAGCAATGGCTTTTCTAAAACGGCAATGTATCATCATGAATTGTGGAACTCAAGGTAGGTAAATGCCTCAAATGCTTTATCATTAGCTTAAATTGCCAGGAGAATGCCCCTGGTAGCAACCAGATGAAGTGTAGGAGTGGGCTTAGTTGAACAAGGAACTGGAGAGGGACACAAACGAAGTCGCTTTCAATCTGACTCTGTCCCCTTCACCAGACCATCAACTCTACCCAGGTCCCACAATTTTGCCCAACCCTTTCTCTCGTTTTCTTAACTCTTCCGCTTATATTTCTCAGTGAGGGTAGCTGGAGAAGTTTTAATCGAGGTTTCACCAGTGACTCACCTAATTAGCTAGGAAGTCAGGTTTTCTTTTTTTTTTAAAGGTGTGAAAGACGTAGATCTGATTTCTTTTTTAGCTTGTAGCTGAGTCAGAGGAAAACATCTAGAAATGTGGAACAAGCACAAAAGAAACATTATACAAGCAGCAATATAAATAGTCTTTCCTATAACTTTAACCGGATGGCAGGCAGACAGGAAAGCAAGGATTCATCCTATATCAAGCATTTGAAATTGGTTATGATTGCCAGCATTTATTTAGAAGTTCAAGATACGGTAATTTTGACTTATAATTCAGGAGGCAAAAGAGCAAACACTTCCAGAGATAAGGACTTTATTTAAAAGTTGCAGAGCATTTTACTGTAGTGCAAATTGCTAGCAGAGGACCCTTTGTGAAGATCATTACTGTTTTGCTAGGTAGTTCATTAAACATAAAGCATAATATAACCAAAATCTCACCTTTCCCTCTGAAAAGTAAACAGATTCCTTAGTAAAAAAAAAAAAAGTTACAAAATTACTGAATTGCTGTCATTTTTTTTATGTTCATCCTTTTGGATAGCTCAAAACAGGTAAAGTTTTAGTATAATTTTCATGTCGTCTTTAACAATGCTGAATGTATGGTTTTAGTTAATGTGGATCAAGGTCCAAATGACACTACAGATAAATGAAAACTATAAGTTCTTTGCTTGAGTTTTCTCTGAAGCAGCTTGTCGTACTGAAGAGGCTACTTGGTTGAGTCAGTAACTGAGTATCTTGTTGTAAGAGCCTATTCAGTGATTATGATAATTTGTGTCTAAGAAATTACATGCAGGAATTTGACAAGAATGTATATCCCAACCACATACTTCTTACTTCTTTAAACAGGTGAACATTATTCCACTTATAGCCAAAGCAGATACAATTTCTAAATCTGAACTGCAGAAATTTAAGATCAAAATCATGAGTGAGCTGGTCAGTAATGGAGTCCAGATATACCAGTTTCCAACAGATGATGAGAGCATTGCCAAAATTAATGCCAGCATGAATGTAAGTACTTCACTGACCCCACAACAACATATTCAAACAAAAATGTACTGACAATTGTTTGCCATTATAGCTATAGTGGATACATCTCACTCAGACAAGGGATAGTGATAACAAAATGGACCCTGAGGAAAATTCTTTTGAGTGGGACATGGCACTATACTGGTTGCAAAGACTGACATTTTGAAACTAGGGCAGGAATGTTAAAAAATCCCCCTGTTTTTCCCCAATGGTATTTAATTGCTTCTTGAATTCTGAACTATTTCTATATTTCACAGAGGCACTTCCATGTTCTTAAACAGTGCAGTTATCTTTCATGTAATTAGGATATATGTTATTGTTTATATTGTACTTTTTAATATATTTATTGAGCTGATAGCAATGCACCTTTATTTACTCTGTTTCACAGGGACATCTGCCCTTTGCCGTAGTGGGGAGTACAGAAGAAGTCAAAATTGGAAACAAAATAGTAAAAGCTCGCCAGTATCCTTGGGGCATAGTGCAAGGTACTGAAACAGGAAGTACTTGCTCAAGTACTGTTTTGGAAACATTGCATAGTAAATGCGAAAGGTATGCAAGTAATATCTTATTTCGTTTCATTAGTGGAAAATGAGAACCATTGTGATTTTGTGAAACTTCGGGAAATGCTGATTTGTACAAATATGGAAGACTTGAGAGAGCAGACTCATATGCGCCACTACGAACTGTACCGGCGGTGCAAATTGGAAGAGATGGGCTTCCGAGACACCGATCAAGAAAACAAACCTGTCAGGTAAGTGAGTGAGCCTTCCCGATGTTTCAACAATTAAAACGTTTATTTACCCTCCTAGCAGCAGGATGGGGAAACGTAGCATTCGAAAAATATTGCAAAAAACTAAATACGTCTCTTACTCTTTTACTTAAAGCACTTAGCTAGTCATCATTCTGAATGCTGTTGGGGCAGTCCCTAGTTCAGTGGTAATTAGGCAGTATGAAATATACCGTGGTGGCAGCAAGAGTTGCATTAGTGCTAAAATTGGAAAGCAAATCAGCAGGGGATATCTGGCTGTCAGGTGCAGCAGTGGATTATAGCCCAAGGAACTCTGTTGCTGTGCTGAATGGTGCTCTGTTCAGATTACGACAGTCATCCAGCTGGCTAAGGAGTGCAGCACTGATGCTGGAGATTGTATCAGAGGGCACATGGTTGCCTTCCGTGGTCCTGCAGCAATATTGGCGCTACTGCTTCTGAACTGAGCATGATGCTGACAGAAGTGGAAATGGTGCTTTTTTAGTTGAGAGTGGCTTGAAGAATGGCTGAAGTGGTCCTTTTCTTCTCTGAGAACAAAGAAATCAAAAGTAACTGTGTGGAGAGAGTATAAGTTTGAAGTGGTCTAAGGTAATTGTACAGTGGTACCTCGGGTTACATACGCTTCAGGTTACATACGCTTCGGGTTACAGACTCCGCTAACCCAGAAACAGTACCTTCGGTTAAGAACTTTGCTTTAGGATGAGAATAGAAATTGTGCGGTGTCGGCACGTCGGCAGCAGGAGGCCCCATTAGCTAAAGTGGTGCTTCAGGTTAAGAACAGTTTCAGGTTAAGAACAGACCTCCGGAACGAATTAAGTACGTAACCAGGGGTACCACTGTATTCTCAGGCAGGAAGGTAAACCTAAGACCTTTTCTAATTTCTTTCAGAATTCCTTTTTGCCAGTGCCAGTTCTTCCTTCATGTGCACTATCTTCTTTTCCTTTCCTTTTGTCTTTCCGACTAATGTAAGTAAAAACTTTCTCTATAAACTTTCTTCTTTGTGTTTCATTCCTACTGTCCTTCCTCTCCTGTTACTAACACCTAAACACCTAAAATTGTGTTGTTGATGCCTGCGCAGAAAAAGTTTAAGCGGTAACTGAGTGGATTGGAATTCACTGGCACCAGAAGTGACTTGGGTGGAATCTGCGCACATATTAAAAAACGCTGTGAAAACGCTTTTTTAAAGAACGTTCTGAAAAATACACTGAATTTGCCATAGCTCACCGTCACCATCTAGTGTCACATTTGTATATTGCACTTTGCAACACACTTAAAACACTTTATTTGCAGCTGTGTAGCTAAGTCCTTGATATTTACTCTGCAGGTACTGACTGGGTTTCTGTGATAAGCCAAGATAGGCCCTTTCCATATGTTATAGTATTGCACTGACTGGACATGCCAATTGATTTTGTGCAATTCAGTGGGGAGCAAAAAAATCGATAAGCATCAGCTTATCTATTTAAGGATCAGACTATGGCAGGATTGCCAAGACTCAGACCATTGCTGACAATATGGTATTCCATACTTCTCTTCAGACATAATCTCTAGGGAGGGATTCCAAATTCCCGGGCAATTTGTACAGCCTTCAGCAATTCTTAAGACTTCGGAATGAATCACATTCAAGGTGGCAGTGCTGAACTAGTCAGGGTGTAAAGCAGGAATGTGGAACCTGTGGCCCTCCAGATGTTTAGCTGCACTATACTACCAGCAGCGCTGACCATTGGCCATGTTGGCTGGGCTGATGGGAGTCAGGTGTCTAACAGCATCTGGAGGGCCGGGGTCCCTTGCTCCTGGTGAAAACAAAAACCAGTGGCATCTCAATAACTGGGTTCCTCTTTTCTTTTTCTTTTTACAAAATTCTAAATTCAAAGGCACCTTTGCTCCTTAATAGAGTGGGATATTTGGAAGACCTCTGGCTGTTTTCATTGCATTTATTAGAGTGCTATTGGAATCGGCTTTCAGCCGTAAGATCAGCAAGTTTTGTTCTGATTCAGAGTAGTCTCTTTTACTGGAAAGTGACTTTGTAGCGAGAACAGCTGCGAGAATATCAAGCTGTCCTTGTGCAAGGAAGGAAGGACACTTGCAGCATTCTATGAGGAAGTTTAAAAGAGAGAGAGAGAGAGAGAGAGAGAGAGAGAGGGGGAGAGAGAGAGAAAAAAGAGAGATTCCAGACCTGGCATGTGAAGAAGACAAGAATTGGAAAGCCAGGCAAACAATGAGAAAATGGCATTCTGTGTGTATTCTATATGCACTATTAGGCTGACTTTGTTTTTGAAAAACCATTCAGAGGCTCAGTGCCCTTGTGAACTTACTACTTAGCACTTCTATCCTAACTATCCCCCCCCCCCCCGAATTAACTTCCCTTTCTATCATACAGGCTTACCTCCGAGTTTAGGGTCAAGGCTAAAGTATGAAATCCCACAGCCACTCATGCAGGGGGCTTTGTCCACTTTGCCACGACTAATTTATTGCCCTGCATTCTATTCATAATATCGCTGCATGTCTCATCCTGATACGTTTTTAGAGCTGACATGCATTTTGGCCACAATAAAATACTGTGGTGAGACACCAGACTTCAGACATTTCCCCCACTGCTCACAGTGCGTTGTAGGCAATGTCCCACATTCTTTTGCCTCAAAATAAGGACTGAAGGATGGCGCAAATGGAGACATTGGGTGAACCTCTGAACTGCAGGCCCCCTGAATTTCTCAACACCTGACCTACAACATTGATACTGCTCCGTTTGACTAGTATATTGTATTTATTCTTTATGTCAGTTGGCTCAACCTGCTATAGTGGTATGACACATAGACATGGGGTTAATGTCTCAGACCAATTTTCCCCAAAACAATTTGTTATTTAAGAATTTAGTAAGGCAAGAAGTTAAACAGTTTTTGAGAAAACTATTTATTGCGGGGTATGTGTGTTAGAGTTTAAAAATAACATAAACAGAGATGAACACATCCAGCCAAGCCCATCTATTTTGGACTGCAATAGTTTGCATCCCTCACTTTAGCTTCTGATACCTTTTCCTGGTTTCACTCCTTTCCACTCTTGTAACGCTTTTGCAGTTTTCGAGCTTTTTCAGTGTTTCAGTCCCTTTCTCCGTTGCAGGTCTTCAAATCCACCTCTTCTAGTTTCTGGTGCCACAGCCTGCTGAATAGCTACCCTGTCTTCTCGCATGACTTATCTACAGTATTTTCATGCCCCTACCAATCTTTTAGCTAGTTGGGAGAGGAGTGTTTGGCTGCAATTCAAACCCTGGCTGGGGAGTGACACAACTCAACAGAGCAGTGGGGTCACCTCTGCATTCGCAGCTCTGCTGATCACGCTGATTGGAGGAGAAGGTGGGGGGCAGGCAAACTGCTCACCCAGCCTATGGAGACTTGCAGAACTAGGCAGAGTGACACCTCTGCAACAACTCCCACAGCCTGGCTCAGTCGCCAGGTTCTTAGGATGAGCTGCTTAACAGGGCTGCTTAATCCTCATAAGCAAAACTTCCCTGTAAACTTTTTACCCTCCTGTGCACAAGAGCCTTTAAAGCAAAAAAGGAACAATTTAAGAACTCAAAACCCAACACGAAATGACTTCACACTTCACAATAAGAGAAAAATTCTACAAAACCTTGACATAAATAAGCATTTATTTATGCAAAAATAAAGCAGTTCTGGAAATGGAATCAATTTGCATAATTTTGCATGGATTATAGCATTAGGATTTCCTTGATGTGAGCAGCTGTGTATTTATTTCCAGCTATTGGAAGGCTAGTTGGTGATACCTGTCCACAACCTGTCCTCTTTGTAGAATAATTTGTTTGCTTTTATCATTCATGCTTTTAAAATTTTATTTTAATTGTTAGGTCATGTGGGCCTTTTAGTCCCTTATGGACTTGAATTTGTTGTGGTGAAAGTTCTAAAACGGTAACGTCTTTTAAATAGTGAGATTGAATCTAACTACTGTAAGAACAGAGGATATTAGCTGAAATTGGAAAAACTTTCTCAATCCCCACAACCTATGCTTTTAAGTCTGTGCACATTGTATTTATGGTAATGTGAGTGTCTGTTCTGTTCATTTTGCACACGGCAGACTGACCTTGCATAGTTCCTGAAATGCAGGTCATTGTCACAAGGGAGCATTACCTTGCTACAACTGTTATGGGTCAGAGAACATCTCAGATGAAGCTTTTCAAAGGCTCCGGAGTCTTTTTGTTGAAGCCAAATCTGAAGTGCTGTTTACCACCCTTGTTACAACTTGAATAACCTGTGCTGCCTTTTCCTCTAATTGAGCTCAGAACTGCAACGTTGCTTGGTGAAGAACTGGTCTGTATTCTTGCTATTAAGATTAAGATCAAATTAAGTAATGACTTTGCATATGTTACTTGAAAGGATTACAGAGAGCCAGTGTAGTGTAGTGGTTAAGAGCGGTAGACTTGTAATCTGGTGAACCGGGTTCGCGTCTCCGCTCCTCCACATTCAGCTGCTGGGTGACCTTGGGCTAGTCACACTTCTCTGAAGTCTCTCAGCCTCACTCACCTCACAGAGTGTTTGTTGTGGGGGAGGAAGGGAAATGTTAGGAGGAAGGAGAATGTTAGCCGCTTTGAGACTCCTTCGGGTAGTGATAAAGCAGGATATCAAATCCAAACTCTTTTTCTTCTACAGTATAGTAAAGGGAAAAATGGGGAAAAAATGCATAAAATTGGTGGAATACAGTAAAAATTACACACTGTTGCCTTTCACAAGTGATAAAGACTCCTTACATTTAATGATCCTCAGTCTACAGGAGACTTACGAAGCCAAGCGGCATGAATTCCTTGGTGAATTACAGCAGAAAGAAGAGGAGATGAGGCAGATGTTCGTTCAGAGGGTCAAGGAGAAAGAAGCACTGCTGAAAGAAGCTGAGCGAGAAGTAAGAGTGTCTGCCTACTGTTCTGAATTTGATCTGGTTGCAGTGGTAGTGTGAACAGATTAATAAATCTTAAACAAATACTGTGTTTAAGAAAGAAACAGAATAGGCTGGCTAGCTTCCAGCAAAATAATGCACTGAAGAGAATCGCATGCATGAGCTGGAGCTTTGCTCTTTCCACTGAACTATGGTTTGTCGCTTTGGCTGCAAAAAAAGAAAAGCTTTGGCTGTATGTGCCCTGTCCCGTTTATGTAAGGGCCTTCTCTGCATCCTGATCATGGCTGGAAGTAGATCAGGACCAGTAGGACTTGGGAACAAAATATTGTGCTGTGTATGTGTTTGTATGCACATGATGCCTCCACTCGCTTTCTTTTCCAATGCCTCACCTTGGGTCACAGAGTTCTTCCTCCTCTTCCTTGTGCATGCAGTGAGAGCCAATTGGGAACTTCAGCAAAAGGTTTCTTGGAAGAGTTATGCACTTTTGCCCCTGTACAGGCAGAATTGGGAAACAGCTGGAGAAAATGAGGGTCTTTGGTTAGGTTCTGAGCTCTGGCTGAGGCTTGGTTGACTCCCTGCCCCCCGCCAAAGGTTTCTTTGGTTTACAAATATGGTAATTCTTATGTACAAATAGAGTAAGTCCTCTGATTATGCAGAAACCACTAGTATATCTGTGAGTGGTCATGTTTTGCTTCCCAGCTGATTAGAACAGGAGAAGCCACTAAATTAAGCGTTTGTGTATATCTGAGATGACAACTCCCTGTTGACTATAATTGCTCAGTGGTCTCAAAAGTTGAGGATTAAGAGGGGTCAGTCCCTTCAAGCTGGGAATACACTGTTGACCCAAAGCCATAGTTTTTCCCAGTGCCATATGCATATTGAGAGATGGGACTGATCAAGGTAGAAATCTAGGATTGCTATACATCCATAATTTCCTGGATATAGCCAGGAAACAGTGTCCGGGTGGAAATCGCTGAAATGTCTGGGAAAATCTGGACATATGGCAACCCATGTCTGAAGTTTAGATTTTGGTGAATTTTATTAAAAATACCTCATAAACTTCTTCTTCTTTTGAGATTTTGACCTGTTCTCCATTTACCAAGAAAAGGAAAGCCGAGTACGGAATAATCCTAAAGGCTGGTGCTCCCTTTTGAAAAGTTTACTTAATGTACTCTTTTTCGCATTTGTCCTTAAAAAGGATTTAAATCTAAGGCATTGATCTTGTAAACGGCTCTAGGTTTCATTCCTAACCCTACTCACCTTGGAGTAAGCCATACCAAATTCAGAAAGGGTTAGGATTCTACTGTAAGTTCAGGTGTGCGTAATGTCAATAAAATAGGAACACGAAGCTCAAAACTCTGACTCTTAGGAAACCAGTCTCTGTGTTCTGTTGTGTGATTACTGAGGATGGAATGCTAAGTGCCACCTTGTGGCAGAAATGACATTTTTTTTGCTCTACTTCAGCTACAAGTGAAGTTTGAACATTTAAAACGGCTTCATCAAGAAGAGAGGATGAAAGTAGAGGAGAAAAGAAAGCTCCTGGAAGATGAAATGAGTGCATTCAGTAAGAGAAAGGCTGCTTCAGACATACTCCAAGGGAGGGCCCTGCCCCCCACACCCACGGTTGGTTTAAAAAAAGACAAGGATCGGAAAAAGTAAGTAATCATTTTCAGAGGATCTTAGGATTTAGGGCAAACTGTCCAATTCAGATGAATATTTTAAATAGTATAAATTATCCAGCCATGAAGTATGAAAAATAAGTAAATTTTGTTGCAAGTTGTTTGAGGTTTTCTTATTGATATCATCAGGCACTTTTATGAAAACTCTTCTTTTTATGTCCCCTTCCCCACCAAAGGGAACAAGATTTTCGGCCTGAGCTGCTGTGTTTTGATATCGGAGATCAGGAAGTTGTGAATATACAGGAAGCGAGAGAGAGAGAGAGAGAGAGAGAGAGAAATTAGAAAGAGAAAGAACACTGTGACTAGAGCTTGGAAGTAGTTTGCAAATGTTGTATGGTTAGGGTATGTTAGTTTTGCAAGTCATTGAAAACAGATTCGTATGTTCACAATGTGCTTAATATTTGAATTTTTCATTCCAGAGAATGCTATTGAAATTCCCAACAGCTTTTGTAGTTTGTTGGTCGTGGCAGAAGCTGTTATGGAACAGTAAACAATCTAAATCTGTATTGTGTATTGGCAGCTGTTGCACTCACTGGGTGGTATCCTACATGCTCTGAGTAGACTCATAGAAATCAACAGGCAACCCAGTGATGTCTGTGGGTCTGCTCTGAGTATTACTCATGTTGGATAGTAGCCACTGTTCTGCCCAAAATCTCAACTGCTGCAAGGAATCAACTGCATGTAAAGCAAAATGTTATTAATGGTTTTCACAATAGAAATGTGCGCTTTTAAATTATGAAATCGTTCAATGAGAACGAGTGAAAGTAGGGAGTCATCCAATGATGTCTGCCCACTTCTGCAATGGAAATCGGCTTGTGCAGTGGGACTCTCCTTCTCTCTGCCCTCCACCACTGCCCTAGCATACCTCCCAAATCTGCTCTGGAGGTCTCCCTACTCTCTGGGGAAGATTTGGGGTATGAGTGGGGCTGCTAGGGGGAGGAAGATTTGCTTAAAATGGCTTTTGTTCTCCATTCTGCTGGCAGAAGAGTACTGTCAGCTGAGCAACATAGTTTTGATACTAACATAGCAAGAATTTTTCAAGAATGTCAGATTAAAGACTTATTTTACATCAGGCATAGGCAAACTCGGTCCTCTAGATGTTTTGGGACTACAACTCCCATCATCCCTAGCTAACAGGACCAGTGGTCTGGGATGATGAGAATTGTAGTCCCAAAACATCTGGAGGGCCGAGTTTGCCTATGCCTGTTTTACATGATTTATATTTCACACTTTCAACATAATAGCTAACAAAGTTGTAGAATACAAAAGGAAAATTGAAGGCTATACCATGTAACATTTCTGTACATTTAAGTCGGTTCAAGTTTTGTCTAGTTGGGACTTATCAAAGTAAATATGAACACATTGAAGATGGAAGCTTTAATACTGTAAATAGTCTTTGCTATCTGCGGATAAAGGCACACCTGATACGCTTCTTTCTGTTTCAGCTCTGGCTTTATGTGAAACTGAAGATACAAGAAGAAATTCTTCACAGTTCCCTATGACGAAACGTCGATCACCCTCCCCCTTTTTTAATGCAAGCGAACTTGAAAACTGATCACTGCTTAATCAATGAAAAAGCATATTAAAATGTATAATCAGTTTTGCATAATGTACTGTAGGGTTGCTGTTGCATTAATATATTTAAAAGGATGTTTCTTTAAGCCGCCATTGATATGCACTTAAACTATATACCCGTGGCCAAGTTGCACACACCAAAGATTACTGTGCCATAAAACAGTTTTCATTTGAGTTATGAGCACTGTAGTACAGAAGTGAATATATATTACATATGTTTTAAAGAACTGGTGCCTTTTATCCTGTTTTAGCTATACACAATTGAATGCATTTATTCAGCTGAATAAAATATGTAAACCTGTTTAAATAACCACTTCCTTTCCTCAAAACGGACTTGCAAATGTCCTTTCCAGGTCTGTGATAATGATGAGCTTTTGAATTATTCGTGGAAGCATTAAGCTTCATTTCCAACTATATTTTGAGAACCAGCTTGGTTTATAGACATACCTTCCACTTGAACAGGCTTTGCTGTTCTTCAGCTTACGTTACATGCCACCCAATCGTGTGGAAACTAGAAATTTCCCAAAACAAATAAAACCTGGTTTGGTTCATGAGAACCCTGACAAATTGAGTTTGTAAGATGATAGATCAAGTGCCTTGGAGAGAGGTCTTCCTTCAGTTTAGCACTTTGCTAACTAAATTTGCACAGCTGGCTGCAAAATCCTTCTTTGAACTCTGCAGTCCTGTGCATGATCAACCAGAAGCAGGTTCTCTTGTGTTCAGCATGGGCAACGGGACGGCTGACTCCAAGTAAGTGCACAGAGGAGGGATGAGGGACCTGTGACTTCCAGGTATTGTTGGACTCCAACTCCTGTCACCCTCAGATAGCATGGCCAAGTGGCCAGGGATAACTGACACTGTAGTCCAGCAACATCTAGAGGGCCACAGGTTCCCCATCGTTTGTGTTTACAATTGCAGCCTAACTGGAGGCTAAGGAAGTTCTGAGTAACCATGTAGAATATTGTACTCTAAATGTAATCTTAACTTAATTTTAAAGTTCTTGTACAACTTATGGCAGCCGATAGGTTTTTAAGCTTTGTACGGTTCCTTTTTACTAATAAGCAAAAGCAGCTGTATCCGCAATCCTCGTAGATTTCTGCAGGACTTAAAAAGCATGTGTATATAAATGCATAACTTGGGAAATAAACACACAATGTTATCCATAATCTACACGAATCCCTTATTTTCTTGAGAAATACAGCTGTATGGTCCTCAAGCCAGCTTCTGTCTAATTTGAAAACTTAAGCAGAGGTGTTTACATTTGAGACAGCCATTGCACACATGCAGATGACAGCTCATTGTATAGGAGGTTGGTTGGGAAAAACAAAATTAGGTAATGTGCATTGAATGGATACATACCTGCCCCTTCTCAGATGTGTACGGTAATGTTAAAAGTGACTTGAGGGATGGGGGCAGGGGCTACCTGATGTTTGAAGGTGCTAATGTGCAGATAGCCTAGATTTCAAATCTCATGTTGTTGAACTATTTTATCAGTCAAGAGAAATGCAATTTCTAGGAAGAAGACATGAAGGCAACAGAACCAGTGAGGGGAGGAGTGAAAGAAACTGGCTGTTGTGGGTGGGGAGTTGAGTGTAAAAGAATGGGAGAAGATATTATAGGAGATGGATAAAAATATTCTGTTATTCTAAATCTGAATTACTCTGAATCCATCACAACGAAGTAATGGAGGATCCTTTCTTCTCCAATCTGGAATAGATATTGGGTTGCTAGGCAACATTTTCCACGTACCTTGCTCCTGAGCTAAAATAATAATTAAAAAATACCTTCACCTGGGTCATGTTATTCTGGTGATGTGATAAGAAATGAAGCTAGAGAAATCATTCTCAAAGCAACACTCTCTGTATTTTAACACATCCTGCTGGGTCTCTTCTGATCTATTTATAGATCATACTTTTTTATTACTGCCTAGTAATCTGGCAAAAACTTTGAGCGAATGTGAAAATCACATTTTCAAGAGAGCAAGTAGGTGCTAACAGCAGTGGCGAGAGAGTAACATGAAACTCAATGCCGTTTCATCTGACCTTTGATTTGTTGCAAGTGATAATCCAACCACACTGTTCTTGTTGGATATTACTTTTTTTATTATCAATATTATTTCTTTATGCCCCACCTTTATTCCAGTGTAAGGCCCAAGGCAGCTCACAACATGAATTATAAAGAGAAACAGCTTAAAAACACACCGATCCATTATAAGTATTAAGAAACATACAAATTACCATATTAAAAAAAGCACTGAATCAAGTGGTCGGGGGTCACAGATTGAAGACCTGTTACTATTTTTGCAGAAAGGTCCCTGACCCCAGTGTCCTAGAGACACCCACATGAAGACGGAGCTTTATTTTTAATACTTTTTTTATTAGAAATAACATGAAATAACATGAAACAATAAAAACAACAAATAATGGGTATTGGTCACCAGATACAAAGCAAAAAACAGTCACGATGCGTCAGAAAGTAATAGCAGCATGTTAAGTTAAATAAAGAAGCGAATTACAAGAAATAAAAATAAACCAGTCAGTATCAAAAGTATCATTTTTTGTTTCTTCACAAATCGCTCTACAGCATTGCATAAGTTTATCAGTCAAAGCCTACAACCACATCCTGTCATATCACTTGGGGACAGTACATCTGTCTGCATCTTTCCAATGTAACCGCAGCTTCATGCATGCTACCACAAGGAGGTGGTATACCATATTCCTACAAGGAAAAAAGCAGAGACATTACCTTGTCGACAAAGATCCGTATTGTTAAAGCTATGGTTTTCCCAGTAGTGATGTATGGAAGTGAGAGCTGGACCATAAAGAAGGCTGATCGCCGAAGAATTGATGCTTTTGAATTATGGTGCTGGAGGAGACTCTTGAGAGTCCCATGGACTGCAAGAAGATCAAACCTATCCATTCTGAAGGAAATCAGCCCTGAGTACTCACTGGAAGGACAGATCCTGAAGCTGAGGCTTCAGTACTTTGGCCACCTCATGAGAAGAGAAGACTCCCTAGAAAAGACCCTGATGTTGGGAAAGATTGAGGGCACAAGGAGAAGGGGACGACAAAGGATGAGATGGTTGGACGGTGCTCTCGAAGCTACCAACATGAGTTTGACCAAACTGCAGGAGGCAGTGGAAGACAAGAGTGCCTGGCATGCTCTGGTCCATGGGGTCACGAAGAGTCGGACACAACTAATTGTCTAAGCAACAATTTCCTTGTTGTGCCTTCTAAATCCAGATTCAATTTCAATATCCCTGTGAAGGAGGCAGTAAGAATTGCAAAAAACTTCCTGCCAAAGTTTCTGTGCTTTTGAAAAGAGAGGGTTTTTTAGCCACAGAGAAGCATTCTCAAGCTTTCTGCTGATTGGAGCCAATCAGAATAAAAGGAGGTGAGTCAGCGGCTGAAGATATGCACCATTTGAAACTTGAGTTATGCCCAACCTTTGGGAATGTAATGAATGAGAAATGAACATCTTCCATGCAGCTGAACAGGGAAGGCTCCCACCTCTCCACCCAGCCTGTAATATGCCCCTCTTACCCCTGCATATCATTTAGGCTTGAAAAGAACCTTCTGTCGAAATCCTTCAATTAAAATCCCAGTTCCAGTGTAGCAGAGTATTATGTAAATGGGGTCTGCTGTTCCAGCCAGCTACATGGAAACAACACCCTTTTGCAAAGGAAAAGTGGTGCATTTGAGAGCCATCTCTTTTTTCTGGGAGCCTGCAGTTCAAAAACAGCCTCCAGCAACTAGCTTAACGGTGCACAAGTGACTTCTTGCCCAGCCCTTCGGCAGAACCGATGTCTATACAGCGGTACCTCGGGTTATGTACTTAATTCGTTCTGGAGGTCCGTTCTTAACCTGAAACTGTTCTTAACCTGAAGCACCACTTTAGCTAATGGGGCCTCCTGCTGCCGCCGAGCTGCCGGAGCACGATTTCTGTTCTTATCCTGAAGCAAAGTTCTTAACCTGAAGCACTATTTCTGGGTTAGCGGAGTCTGTAACCTGAAGTGTATGTAACCTGAAGTGTATGTAACCCGAGGTACCACTGTAATAGTGCAGTTAGTTCTCTCTCTTTTCTTGGCCTATTGCAGCCACCTCTCCTTCCAGCAATTTCTGCAGGCAAAAAATTCATTCTGTAATCCTGGGGCAGATTTAGGGGAGGGTTCAGTCACACTGGGCGCAAAGCCTTGGGGTGCAGCAACTATTACTTTGAATGCAGCAAGAGAGGTGGGGTGAGGTGGTGGGGAGCCCCAAATTTTGGCGTCGCACAAGGCACCCCTGAAACTTGAGACCCGAAGGTCTGCCCCTGCTGCAAATCTCCTTTCGGTTTTAAGAGCAGGCCTCTGTTGTCTTGTACTCCAGTTCCCAGGATTCTTGCAGCCTTGCCAGCGTTAGTTTTGCCCTTCTCCTATCCTGGTGATAAAAAACAACAACTTGAAGGAAACTCCTATCACATGACTAGACTTCTGGAAGGTTCAGTTCAACACAGCCACTTTAGGAGGCGACATCTCAGAGCCCAGGGCTGAGACAAGGCCTTGGCTGAGGAGCTAGGCCTAAGCAAGCTGAAGCAAGGTAGGCCGAGAAGCCTGAGGCCTTGCGACAAACAGCAGGCCTGTCGGAAACGGTGGCGGCCTTAAGCCCGCAACTGATGGCCGTGGCACAGATAGCGCTGTAATTAATCCACGAGCCCCTTACCACAGGCAATCATTTTGCAGGTTTGGAGCAGCCAGCAGCCTTCATGAATTGTTGTTTGTGCTATCACAGTAAACAGAAGCCAGATCTTTAGCAGGGACACTAACTGCATTGCTGGCACATAACTATGATTTTTTCAGGGGGGAGCTCCTGTTACACTTTTTGTGGAGAGAGAGAATGGGGAGACTCAATTTACAGTTGGGGAAAGGGAACTAACCTAACTGTTGGCGGGGAGGGACATCCTTCCCCCCATTCTTTTTCAAGGCAAAAAAATCATCACGGCTGTGTAAATTTTTGTGGGCTCCCCTTGATGATGCTTTGAAATGAATCATATACAGAGGTTAATGAGATGGAGAGCATGTTCACAGGCTTGTTACTGTCGTGGGCTACTTAAAATAAAATAAAATTGGGAGTAGGTGAACGCTTCAATTTCATGTTGTATTTAGTTGCAAAGAGGTGGGTTCTGGCTGAAGAGGAAACGCCAGCTTGCTTTACTTGTGTTTGGATGCCACGCTAATAAAAACAAAAAACAGGGTTTTGCTTGATGAGAACAAGAGACAGTGGGCCTCGAGTTTGCGAACTTTCCCTCCCTTCTTGGATGCAGCTGCGAGGAGGAATTTGTAAACATCCGGCTTTGCTTAGCCAGATGATGTTATATCATAGGGACCAACAAATGGGATAAGTGTGGTTTGTTTGAAAAATGCCCACTGCACATGGCAAGTGTCATTTTCTCCTCACTTAACAGCTCCTTCTTGCATGCATGCATGCTCCCCAACCACAGTGCTTCTTTCAGCATAACATGTTGCATATGTATCACCTAAAAACAGCATATGGGCAGTGCTGGATTTACGTTTAAGCTAAACAAGCTATAGCTTAGGGCCCCACTCTCTTGGAGGCCCCCCAAAAAATTAAAGAGAAAAAAACCTGGATGTACATTTCCAAAATATAAGATAAGTTCAACAATTACTTTGATAAAATACATATTTTGTTATGTGCAAATGGCTTTAGATACCTATTAGGTCCATAAATTACCATATAACATATATTCAACACAAAAAACAGTGACAATTTCTTGTTGACAAAGGACAGCTGGACATATAAAGGGCCCCATTACCTTCAGTAGCTTAGAGCCTCATCAAACCTAAATCCGGTCCTGCGTATGGGTAGCACCCAACAAATGCATCCTATCAGCAAAAGCATTTATGCTTCCACAATGAACTTTCCTTCCTCTTTTCTCCCTGCGCTTGCCCTTCATCTGCTCCGAAGGGTTGGGGGAACTTTTAGAATACATTTAGCGGATGCATGCATGGGAGATTTCTGCAGAACTCTCTTAGTGTTGATGGGACATGTTAGTTGGATACCACATGCCTCAATGTGTTTGTTTTTAACTCATATACAAAATAGGTCTGATTAATCAAATAAATTTCATATGATTATTCAATTATGATTTTATTTAATCTAGTCCTACCACATTTTCCTTACCCAGGTTTTTAATTATTTTTTAAAAAAAATATTTATTCAAACTTTAGTCCTACCTTTCCCCCCTCACCCCATTTGTTCTTTATTTTAGAAAATCATTTGGTCTACTTTCCCCCCCAGAAGTATAAGTCTGAGACGAGAATGAGAGCATCCTATCCACCAGTCAATAAAGAAGAAACAAGGAGTGTGAGTAAAGTAATCGATGAGTATTCTCTTTGTATTGCTATAGTACTACAGAAATAACGAAGAGTCTTGCGGGAATTCTGAAGACTTATAAATTCATTAAGGCATGAGCTTTCAGAGACTACAGTCCACAATGGCTTATGCCATAGTAAATTTGTAAGGAGCCACAAGATGCTTCCCCCCTGCCCTGCTGCAACTGTCCAACATGGTTAAATGTTGTTACCTTTTTAGATAATGTATAATAAATGTTTTTAAACCTTCTCAATATAAAAAAGAATGATAGAACATAATTTGGCATGCACTGTTTGAATTACAATTATGGTCAGCAAAGTAGAAATTCAAATAAAATGTGAATTCACCCAAAATAAAATTGCAATTTGGTTTTGTTTGTAGAATTCTAACTATACTGTGTAACAAAAAAAAAATATCTATCAAAGGCTTTTTTCTTGCAGTGCTTTTTAGCAGTTGTACAATTTGTTGAGCAGAACAAAGTTTAAAAATTGCCATTGATTACTGTACCCTTCTTCTAGATCAGGGTTTCACAAACTTGAGTCTCCAGCTGGTTTTCGACCACAACTCTCATCATCCTTAGCTAGCACGACCAGTGGTCAGGGATGATGGGTGTTAACTTATTTAGACTTTGCAACAACTTGCTGCCAACATAGTAGTAATAGTGTTGCAGCCTTGTATTCCAATTTATATTATTATTTCCACAGCAGAGTTCCCGACCCTTATCCTTGTCTGGTCATGTTGGCTTTGATAGTTTACCAGATCAGTTGGTTAATAAATATATCCAACAGGGGTTCTGCTTCAACATTCTCTGCATTGGTAAGTAAAATAGCTGCTAGCAGTGAGTTGTTTTATTTTAAAACTCATTACTATTGAAAAATCTGAAGGAGAGGAAAGTGACAAAGGTGTTGCCCTTTTCCATTGGTATTGTACTACTTCAGATAAACAGAATTACTTAAGTGGGGTTAAGTTTTCCCAAGCCCCAAAAAGTTTGCAGCAAAAATAGCATTAGAATAAATATTATATGCATCCTTTGAGGAAATCCCATGGCATAATGATCAGATACTGCTATCAAGGAATAAAAAAGAGACAATGGTCTCTCTGAACTAATTCCTTAGTTACAGTAAATGCCATTTTGCATTCCACCCCCCACCCCCTGGGGAATGTGAAAAAAATCAATTACCCTCATTGTGTTATGGTGAAATTTGTGTGGCGTATATGTACATTTTTTATCTGTCTTTAATTGTAGGGGAGACTGGAATTGGGAAATCAACTTTGATTCATAGTTTGTTTAATAACAGTTTTGATTACCGTGTGTCAACACACTTTCAGCCAAATGTACGACTTAAAGCTGAGACGTATGAGCTCCGGGAAAGCAATGTTCGATTGAAATTGACCATAATAGAGACAGTTGGATTTGGTGATCAGATAAACAAAGAAGATAGGTTAGTATCTCCTCACTTGAATTCATATTAATTTGCCAAGTGACATGCCATCTAAGATCTGACATTTGTGTCATGTAGTGGTATTGATAGGCGTATTGATTTCATTTTATTTAAATTTATTGACATAGTTAACACACCTGCCCATAACCAGAGTTATTTAGAGAAATGAGGTAAACATTTCCAGATTTATGACTTATCAGCAAGACTTTCACTTTATGTGTGCTGATCTGGAAAACAATTTCAGTTATCACTAAATTGACAGAAAATTTTAGAAAAGCACTAATGCCTACTTCATTCTTACCCAAAGGCTTATGTGTGCCCACTGCAACTTTGACTTTCTCCCCGACTGAGCAGCTGGAAGAAGTCTGCTGCCTGTCACATAGGAACAGCTGTTTGAAGAAAAACAAAGTGCCTTTAGGCTAGATGAACAGTTATTTGGATTTGGGCCATTTTCTTAGGATGAATTGGTGCGATCCAGTGATTCTGTTTATTTTATTTTAATTTTGTCGGTTGTATTTTGTTACTTTTATTTGCTTTAAATTGTATTTTTATGTCTTGTGAATTTTATTCACGCTTTTGTGCATTGCCCTGGAATCTTTTGAGGGAGGGTCGTGAAGAAATACCTTAAATAAATAAATAAAGTTAATGGAATGAAGGTCCTGTGATGTGTGGAACTGAAGCGCCATTGAAACAGTTATGGCCAAGGGCACTTGAAAGCAATTGGTTTGTGCTGGATTGTCAGCCATTCACAAATCTGCTCACCATTTCCCATCTGGTGAAGCCCTTTCCCCTCTGGCCAGCGTGACAAGCCGCCCCCACCAACTCAAGCTATGTGCTCTCATTTAACCTGTTCCCAGCACCATCTTTCCCCCCTTCCCAGCACTTCTTTGTGCTAAGAACTGGTTGTGTGTGAACTAACTACATTCTTCCAGTGCAACCCCTTCTCTTCCACCCTGAGCTGAATATAATGGGGTTGTGTGGCGCTGCATATTGGGCAACAATGGCAGCTTCCCTACCCATCGTTGTCTAGTGCTGAATGTCCATTTCCACAGGTCAGGAAAGCTGGAACTTGGAGCTAGGCTGAGTTCTGGGGCTTCAGCAGTGAAGAAGCTCAGACAAGCAACCTACCCTGATGCTGAAGTCTCAAGCTGTTTCTGACTCTCAGACTATGATCCAAGCAGCTGTTTCTGTGTTCTTCCCACTCCTCCCAAGTAGCCCTCGTGCAGCTAGCTGAGTACTTAGACAACGGCTCTGATGTTCTTCCCTGGCTTACTGTCTCCTCTGTTCTTGTGGCCCTGGGGGAGATGAGGGGAGGTGTGAGAGCTGGGCAGCTGGGGTCAGGACAGTAATGGACAGGCTCTGGGTCTGCCTCCTGGTGACCCAGCAACCAGTGAGAGCTGGTGAAACCGGCAGCCAATCAGGAATATGTGTGTGTGTGTGTGTGTGTGTAATTCAAGTGAGATGCTGACAGTTTAAGAGTCATATAAGGACTTTTCTGTCTAGGTGGGCAGATAGCGTCTCTGACTATCTGAGCGGGCTCAGATAGTGATTATCTGTCAGCAGGGACAGTCTGAATTTGTTTTCAGAGATTGGGATTTTACTCTCAGTGGGAGAGGGACTAACTATCAGTGTGGGCCTGGTATCTGTGCTTGACCAATGGGAGAGCTAGACAGCTTTGACAATGATGCTTGCTAAAAGCAATTCAAAGGTATATAAGCCACTCAAAGTTGGCCCATTTGTCTTCCCTTCAGAACTAGTTAGAAAACATACTTTGCTGCATTGCAATTGATATTGACTACCTTTACCCTTTTCTTTTCTGTATTAGGAACTTTATAATAAATTATTCCTTATAAACTATTTCTGGTGTTTTCTGATAAATTGTCCAACTGACTGGCAAAAACCTTACAAAACTAGAATCTGCTTGATCGTTGAAAGAGTTGCAATCAGATATCCCAATTTGCTTAATGTCATATCTCCAGAGAGGTGACCCTAAATTAAAATCCTTTAAGACTCCCTGTCTGAAACTTGGGAGAGCCACTGCCAGCCAGTGCAGGCAGTAGTGAGCTAGATGGACCCATGGGTCTTACTCAGTATGTGAGGCAACTTCCTATGCTCCAGGTCAGGGTAAAGCTTGAACCCTAACACTGAGAAACTGGAGAGAGAGGAGGTAGAGGCAACTGCTTGTTTCTCACTTTAAGCAATGAGAAGAGAAGAATGGGCTGTTACAGCAGTCACAGAGCTGGGAGGACAGATTGGGGGGGGGAGGCAACGAGGAAGCAGCATGGAGTCCCCTCTAAGCTCAGGAAGAAGTTAGGGGGTCATTTATGTAATGCTGTGTTTTAAAGGTGCTTTGCAAAACACCGAACTGTATGGAAGATCACTTGCCCTTTTGATCTTCTTCCTCTTCTTCACACCTGTCTGTGCTAGGCAGTGCTCAGTGCATGCTGCCCACCACACAACATATCCCACTCCTCCAGTTAGTATGGGCTGGAAAGGACGGGGATGCTTTGGTGAGTGAGCACTGCCTAGTGCGGGGAGGTACTAAGAAGGTGGTGTTGGTAGTTTAGATTCACAAGCATCCTGGAGAGAAGCTTGGAAGAGCTGTGCAACATCACCCTTCTCAGCTTGGGGCTTGGCAGCGAGATAATGGGACAACTGCTGATGGGGCTGAGCTTCAGAGGTGATTGCCTCCAAGTTTTGTGTGAGGTCAGTAAAACACCCAGTTATTTTTCGGCAGGGTTGAGGCAACTCCCGATTTGGTTACCAAGGCCAGCCAAAATGTATGGACTTCTGTGGATGTGCCCTTGTTTTGGTTTAGGATGATAATATTCAGGTCAAGAGGCTTTGTCTTTTTATAAGCATATACTTTAGAGAATAATTTCCTAAGAATTTCGCTGAATTTATACTAATGTCACTGCTGTTTTACTGTCCCTTGGCAATTTGTGTTTATCAGTGTATTAGAGTTAAACTCAACCTTTGTCCTCTTACATCAAATATTTTCCCCCTTCTCTGCAGCTATCAGCCAATAGTGGATTATGTAGATGCACAGTTTGAAGCCTACCTCCAGGAAGAGCTGAAAATTAATCGTTCCTTGTATAATTACCGTGATACTCGTATCCATGTGTGCCTCTACTTTATTTCACCCACAGGGCATTCCCTGAAAACTCTTGATTTAGTAACCATGAAAAATCTTTCTAGGAAGGTAAGATATTAAAACCAGAATTCATTCAACTTCAGTATTTTATGTCGTGGTTTGATAAGGCTCTAACTTGTGCAAAATATTCCCTGCTAATTAAAATAAATGCTCACCATGCTTTTAAGATCTTACAACGTTGAGTAAAACAAGCGCTACTCAGAAGGTGAGAAAAATCATTTTAAATTTAAGTACAGAGTCTTTTGCAGATACTTAAATACTAAATCACAGTGGTTCAGCCGACTATTTAAATTTTTTACTTTTATAAAGCGGCAACGTCAGTAAGTAAGTTAAAACTCTAGTACAGTTATATAGGCAGAATTACCTTCTTATTCATTTGCCAGTCGTCACTTTAGTCTTGTCTGGTACCTATCTTCCAATATGGCCTAGTTCTAGCTGATGATGTAAACCAGAGGTGGGGCCCTCCAGCCAGAAGACCACATTCCCTTGTCAATAGTTTTCCAGGAGCCACATGGCAAGAGTAAAGGATGTGACTTTTAGAAGGCTGTTTTCCAACCACATAAATTTAAAGGTCTCTACATATCTCTCTATCCAGGCAAGCAAGAGGCATAACCAGTCTCCAGATACAACTTCCGTAAAGGGTATGATGCCAGAAGGGGCTGAGGCTATGAACCTATGCCTAAGCTGTACCTTTCTTTGAGGTGTACCTCAAATTATTTTCAGGATTTTAAGGCAACCTGGGTTTAGGTAAAGGTAAAGGGACCCCTGACCATTAGGTCCAGTCGTGGCCGACTCTGGGGTTGTGGCGCTCATCTCGCTTTATTTGCCGAGGGAGCCGGCGTACAGCTTCCGGGTCATGTGGCCAGCATGACAAAGCTGCTTCTGGCGAACCAGAGCAGCGCACGGAAACGCTGTTTACCTTCCTGCCAGAGCGGTACCTATTTATCTACTTGCACTTTGTGCTTTCGAACTGCTAGGTTGGCAGGAGCAGGGACCAGGCAACGGGAGCTCACCCTGTTGCGGGGATTTGCACCACCGACCTTCTGATCGGCAAGCCCTAGGCTCTGTGGTTTAACCCAAAGCACCACCCGCATCCCTAACCTGGGTTTAAATGGAGTTTAAAGCAGTAGTTCATTTTATAAACATGTGATTTGACAATGTTGGCCCCGAACTAGGTTGCCTTCAGTCTTAAGCTTTCCCCTCCACCACACAATCACCTCTACCTCATAATCCCCCCAACTCTTCCACTTGCATTTCCATTTGACTATAGGTGGATAAACTTTAATGCACAGGTGCAGGTCATTTTTCAGCTGAGGGCCGTTTTCCCTTCTAGGCAGCTTTCTGAGGGCCACTTAGCAATGGTGGATGGGGCCAGAGGCAAAAGGGGATAGAGGAGCAACAGATTTTATCTTTGTAAAGTAGGTTAGTTTCCGCACACACTTGCACACTCCTCTGTCCTCCATCCAGATAATAAAGAAGCATTATTGAAAGAGGTTCCCCAACCTTACTTTAAGGGCAGAAGATTGGTTGCCTTAAAAATCCTAATCAGGTATTTTGAATGTGTGGAAGACTTAAATCTGACCTTTTTTTTTTTTAGCTTGTAGCTGAGTCAAGGGAAGACATATAGAAATGTGTGTAGAGTACAAAAATCTTATACTCCGAGCAGCGATATAAACATTCTCTCCTATACCTTTAGCCAAATGGCAGGCAGACAGGAAAGCTAGTTCTCTGCATGATTAATACCATATCAATGGTTTTCACTTGCTTACATTTGCCAATAGTTCTTCAGAAGCTCTAAAATGCTGTCAGCTCACAAGGGATATGTTTGGTTTGTAAACGAGGAAGGCAAAAGAAAAGGCACATCCAGAAACAAGAAACGTATTTCACAGTAGCTAGCAGTATGTTTTGTTGAAGTACAAAAAGCCTACAATTGCTTGCAAGGGAATCATTGTGGAAATCGTTGCCTTTTTGTTAGGTAATTCATTATACATAAAACATTATACAAAAAGCAATACATCAATGCCCTAGGTAAAACAAAAAAAATTTGTGATGATAACTGTTTTTGATGATGATGTTTTATTCTGGTAAAGTTTTCGCAGTATTTCTGGTAAAATGGAAAACTGAGCTATACGGATAAGTAGAAACTGCAAGTTGTTTATTATTATTATTATTTTAGCAAGTTCATGGTACTGAAGAGCTGTTTTGCTACTCTGTTTAAAAAGCACCTTGCTTTTTCAGTGACATGGTAATTTATGTTTAAAAAGTTCAGATTACTTGCAGATTTGGCTTTTATAAATACTATACTTCTTATTTCTTTAATAGGTGAACATTATTCCCCTTATAGCCAAAGCTGATACAATTTCTAAAACTGAACTACAGCAGTTTAAGGTCAACATCATGAGTGAACTGGTCAGTAGTAGACTCCAGATATATCAGTTTCCAACAGATGATGAGAGCATTGCTAACATTAATGCTAACATGAATGTAAGTACTTCACTACAAGTATTAGAATGTAAGTATTTTAATGGGATTTCACCTTATTTTTGACAGGTGTGATGGTCTTTCATGTAATTAGGCTACATGTTGTATATATTGCATTTTTCATTTACCGTATTTTTCGCTCTATAGGACACACTTTTTCCCCTTCAAAAATGAAGGGGAAATGTCTGTGCGTCCTATGGAGTGAAGACGCCATAGCCCCGCGACCCTCTCCCGGCTGGAGAGGTGACACGTGGCTATGGCAGGAGCCTCTTTAGCCGCGCGCCACCTCCTCAGCTGGGAGAGCGTGTGCGGGGCTAAAGAAGCCATAGCCCCGCGACCCTCTCCCGGCTGGAGAGGTGACGCGCGGCTATGGCAGGAGCCTCTTTAGCCGCGCGCCACCTCCTCAGCTGGGAGAGCGTGTGCGGGGCTAAAGAAGCCATAGCCCCGCGACCCTCTCCCAGCTGGAGAAGTGACGTGCGACTATGGCAGCAGCCTCTCCGCTGCGCCTTTCCGCTGCTCCCTGAACTGCTCTTTGGGGCTGGTGGTGGGCTTCTCCCCGCCAGCCCCAAAGAGCAGGTTGAAAGGAACCTGAAGCCTGGAGAGCAAGAGGGGTCGGTGTGCCTGAACGCACCTTAAACGGCACCTTGTTTGAGAGCGGGAAAACAAGAGGGGGGAAATTCTCTCTCTCTCTGCGCAGTGCCTCCTGCTGCTTCGCTGAAGGGGCGCTGGGCAGAGAGGGGGAGAATTTTTTTTTCTTGTTCTCCCCCCTCTAAAACTATTGTCCGGTGCGTCCTATGGTGTGAAAAATACGGTATTTATTCTTAGTGTTGACAGCAGTACAAATTTATTTACTCTCTGTTTTGCAGGCACACTTGCCATTTGCAGTAGTGGGGAGTTTGGAAGATGTAAAAGTTGGAGACAAAACAGTAAAAGCTCGCCAGTATCCTTGGGGCGTAGTGGAAGGTAAAGAAGAGTTTGAACTCTCACTTTTTCCAGAATTAGTTTCCTAAGATAGTCAGCAGTGATAGTAACTTTGCATGGTTAATTGTCTGCTTCTCAACTGATAAAGTTCACATTTTGCAGTATCTTTATAGAACTGCTTTCTTCTTTTTGAAGCCTCCTGAATGAGCATAACATCTTTTTGTCAGATTTGTGTACCAGGCAATATTCTAGGCTTTGTGATTTAACTGGTGATCTGTAGCAGTACCATGAGCCTACTTTCCCAGGACTGTTCCTTTTTCACAGGCACATTCCGCAACACTTCATCAACACAATAATATTGCATTAGTAATGGATTTAGACAGGACAGGACAGTCCATGTATCAACCAGTCTACTTTATTAGTTGCACAGTGATACTTCCCCAATATTATTGTATTGTTGCCATCTGGAGAGGCACTCTTGCACTGTACAGCAACAAAAGTGAAACAGCACACAGAACATTCGTGATCTAAAAAGGCACAAGATTTCAGCAGGAAATTATGGGACGCACGCTTACCAGCCACAAAGCAAAAAGGTAGCTTGTCAGCAGTCTGGATTGCCCACAGCAGCCAGAGCTTGCTAGGATTAGTTTAAGGAGAGCTGTTGCCTCAGCATTATGCTGAAGCCTTCTGAGACGTTATAAAGGCTGGCCTGAACCCTCTTATTAGCCCTACCCACTCTGAGTACCTGATCCTTCTTTTAAAGGACCATTCTGCAAATAATGGCGTTTATGGTGTGGGAGTGGTGAGGGATGAATTGGAGGGTTGTTGTCTGAGCTGGAGAAATCTAGTGAGGGCATATAATCTGGCCTGGATGGTGAGGAATTGGGGAGGGGGGTGATACCTCTTCTGCCTTCCAGTACCTCCCATCTGCCTCTGAGTTGGCAGATGCATTTGGAAGAGGAATTTCCTGATCCCATCTTTGCAACTGCTACCCATCAGAAAGCCTCTCCTTGTGGTTCAGGGGACCCTTGCAAAATGTATGAGATGGATGGGAAAGACTGCCTCTTCTCAATACCGCCCCCCTGCAACCCCTCCCCTTGCAACCCCAAAGTGAAAGGGCTTTTGGGGGGTGTTTCCTGCATCCCATGGTAAATTCCAATAGGGTAGAGGTGATAACTTATTTCATTTCATTAGTGGAGAATGAGAACCACTGCGATTTCGTGAAGCTCCGGGAAATGATGATTTGTACAAATATGGAAGACTTGATAGAACAAACTTGTTCTGTTCATTATGAACTGTACCGGCAGTATAAACTGGAAGAGGTGGGCTTCCGAGACACTGATCAAATCAGGTAAGAGAGCGAGCCTTTCCTATGTTTTTAATAGTTAAACCAGTTCCCAACATGGCTTTTGTAATTACTTCTCTGAAGGTATCTTGAATCTTAAGTGTGTAATTAAAACTGTTTGCACACCCCCTAGCCATTTTATGGGGGTGCATGGGGGGAGGAGGGGGAGGAAAATGTGCTATTGCACAGACTTCTGCTAGTGGGGCCCCTTTGTTGAATCTGACCCCATAGCTTAGCTCCAAGTAGCATGGCAACAGCACGATCGGGGGAGGAGCCAAGTGGCTGCAATTTTCCTTTTGGGTCCCCATGTGCTTATTCTTTCTGTCTTAAGTCTAAGCCATGTTTTGGCTTTGTGTTATATGAGTACAAGGCTTCTGAAAGCTTTATAAGTGTACTCCACATACATAGTTGTTTGTAAGTGCTAAATACAAATCTTAGGTGGTATTCAATTAAGACTTACTCAGAATAAGACCCATTAAAATTAATGAACAGGACTAACGATTGAAGTGTACCCTGAGTAAGTCTTAGTTAAATACCACCCATCGTTTTTAAAATTAAGTACCACCCATCGTTTTTAAAATTAAGTTATATTTCCGTAAGAAAAAAAGCAAATTCCTTTAACTTTTAGAAACTTGGAATGGTATCAGTTTCTTTCTGTGAGCCAGGATAACATAAAATTGGGTTCCTTAGACAGAACTGTGGAAGCACACTACAACTTGATAAATCTGTATCTTTGTTTTGTTTTTAGGATTCCAGATTCCAAAAAGACAACTCATAGAGAAAGGTATGTTGCCTTATAGCGTAGAATGATGGAATTAAAGTTTTTTAAATCCTGTCTCTCTGTGTGTGTGTTTTAGAAAGAGACAGCTTGGTCTTACAGGAACCAAGTGTGACATGATCCCGGTACTGATTTGGAACTATTATTGAATTACCTCAAGTGCAACTCAGAATGTCTCCAGCTGTGTACGAATTCTTCATCTTACAAATATGGGTAGGGGACCATAGACCCCGGAGAGAGGCACTTCCTGTCGGATTAGACAATATCTTGATCAGGTGGACAAATAGCCTAACTTGGTATAAGGAGTTTCCTATGTTCTTAAATACCAATTAAATTTCTTTCTTTCTTTCTTTCTTTCTTTCTTTCTTTCTTTCTTTCTTTCTTTCTTTCTCATTGATGTTCTAAACAGATATGCAAGATGCGTGCTGGCCTCAAAACAGACTTTATTTACAGTAGTCGCTGCAGTACTAACATTCAACTTCTGCAGTATAACATGATCTGTGACTAGAATAAATAATAGTGTAAAAACAGGGAACTTGACAATTAACTTGCCTTAACAGTGTTGGTAAGATCAGAATAAAAAAGGGGACACAATCTCATCTTTGACATAACCTTTCTGAAAAGATGCTGCTGTTCTTCTCCCTGTTGAACAGTAAGGAGTTGAAGACATACCTTCCAATGTGAGCTGGTAAATTGTTTTCTTCCCCCGCTGTGAGATGAACTTACATTTGGCTCTACCTCCACTCATCTAATGCACATCTATGCCACTCTGAATCCAGCACTGGTCTTTGGTCTCCCCCCCACTTTTCCAATACTTCTTGCAGCCTACCTGTACACATTCCAGAAGCATGACATTAACCTGGATGGATTCATTGGTGGTTAGGGGTGTAGCCTCATAATTGCCATAGCAGCCAACCAATATACATCTTGCATCGCAAGTTGTTGCTAGAAATGGGATGAGCCAGCTGTTCCTCCCAAACTTGCTTCTCTAGGAAAAGTTAAATGCCTGACTAAAAAGGAATGGGTACAGATTTGCAAAGGGGCTAGCTTCATCTGCTTACATCCAAGTAGATACTGAACTTGAAGAAGCTGTAACTGGTTTTGTTATCCCAGTTTAAAAGCAGGGAAGAAGCATGGCGGTGCACATGCAGCAGTTAGACTTGGTGCAATAAGATGATACCACCTAATGCTGAACCTAGTTAGGGTGGAAAACGGGGTGGAAAATCTGTGGTCCTCCAGATGTTGCTTGGGGCTGGGGCTGATGGGAGCTGGACACCCAACAACATCTGGAGGGTGGCAGGTCTCCTGTCCTTGGTGTAAAAAGCTACAACAATGACATCTTAACACCTAGGTTCCTTTAAAAAGAATTAGAATGCTTTCTAAGCGAAAGGCACCTTTACTCCTTAACAGATGCCAAGAGTGAGATAGTTGGAAGACCTCTGGCTGTTGACATTGTATGTATTACAGTGAGATTGGAATCAGCTTTCAACTGTAAGATCAGCAAGTTTTACTCTTTGTCTGGTTCAGAGTAGTCTCTTTACTGGAAAGTGACTTTGTAGAGAGAATATCCAGTTGCCAGTGTGCCAAAAAGGAAGGACACATCCAGCATTCTGAGAGGAAGCTTAAAAAACTGATAGAAGAGATTCTAGACTGACATGTAAAGAGGAGAAGAAGGGGAAAGCCAGGCAAACAATGAGAAAATGACACCTTCTTTTGCCATCAAACATAATCACTACAGATTTTGAAATGTGGCAATAATTCCAGTGGGTACATTAGTTGATGTAGATAGATCTGTTTGGTGGTCTGCAAATGCACAGTGATAAAAGAACTGAATTTTCTCTGCTGAACAGGAAAGTGTGGAATAACACTTGCTTGACTTAATGTTGTCTAATCTCACAAAGAAATCAGAATAAATGCATGTTAAATACCCTATGACTATGTTGTCTAATCTCTTCATAAGCAAATCAGGCTGAATGTTCATTAAACAAGTCATCTGGAAGTGACCAAATTTTTCTCAAATTAAGTTCTATTTCAATTGATTAGGTATACTCCCAAGTTAGATGCATTTAGGATCAAAAATAAAAGCCCAGGGCCACCTATGCTTTGTCCGCTTCACCATGATTAATTTGTTGCCCTGCATTCTATTCATAGCATCACTGCTTGTCCTGTCCTAACAGCTTTTAGAACCAGTTTATAAATTTAACAAAAGGAAACACTGTGAGTATGGTGAGACAGCAGACTGCAACTGTTCTCACCCAGCCCCTTAATTGCGAGGTTTGTAAGATAATCCAGATGTAACTCCAGTGCACACCTTCTTGAGCAAAACATCTCCTTGTACTTTTAATCTCCCTGTGAACTTTCACAGTCTCTCGTGCACGGGAAAGCTGATCAAATGTGGTTGGGTTTTGTAAATAAAATGGGTGAATGCGGCCAGCTCTGAATGAAGGCTGTTTTACATTTTATGGTCCTCAGTCTGCAGGAGACTTACGAAGCTAAGCGGATTGAATTCCTTAACGGATTACGGCAAAAAGAAGAAGAGATGAGGCAAAGGTTTGTTCGGAGGGTCAAAGAGAAAGAAGTACAGTTGAAAGAAGCTGAGCGAGAAGTAAGCCCATCTCTCTTATAGTTCTTGATCTGGTTGTAGTGGTAGCTTGAAGACATTACGTGGAGCAGCAGAATAAGATGGCTAGAGTCTAGCAAAGAATGCACTGGAGAGAATGATTCTTTAGATCCTGATCATGGCTGGAATTCCATCACGAGTCAGGACCAGGGAGACTTGCAACTAAATATTCAGCTGTGTCCCAAATATGTCTCCTCCCCTGGTTTGTTTGTGCGTGTCCACATGCGCATGGTACCTCCCTCTTCATCCCTTCCCAGTGTCTCACAATGAGTGGCAGAGCCCTTCCTCCTCTTCCTTGTTCACACAGCTGGAGCTGATTGGCTAGGCACGTTCAGTATTAAGGAGAAGGTTATCAGATTCTGATTTGGTTGTTGAAGTGATTTATTGTGGTTAGGATGGTCTCTACAGCAGTGTTGCTGTGCTGGGTCAAGCCATTTCTTTTTCTGCTCCCATTTGCTACGGTTGAAAATGGGAATGTCCCACATTGCATAATACAAATGAGATAACTGCCATACTTAGAAAGACGATGGCCAGAGCTGAGAGTTGAGAGATGTGTGTGAAGTGGAAGCCAGAGGCAGGTGGAAGCCAGAGAGATAGAGCCATGCATGCTTTCTGCTGGAATCCAAGGCTGTGGCTATGGAAGGAGCAAAACCCTTTTGGGGTACTAATGCTGTGAGCTCCTCAGGTTATATTTATGTGTAAATAAACCATATATCATAAATACATCACAGTCTTGGCTGTCCCTCATTCTGAGGAAACAGAGCCTTGGAACGCCTAGAACAGCCTTTCTCAACCTGTGGGTCCCCAGATGTTGTTGAACTACAACTCCCATAACCCCTAGCTAGCAAGGCCAGAGCTCAGGGATGATGGGAGTTGTAGTCCAACAACATCTGGGGACCCACAGGTTGAGAGCCGCTGGCCTAGAACATGGGTAGGCAAACTAAGGCCCAGGGGCTGGATCCGGCCCAATCACCTTCTAAATCCGGCCCATGGATGGTCCAGGAATCAGCGTGTTTTTACATGAGTAGAATGTGTGCTTTTATTTAAAATGCATTTCTGGGTTATTTGTGGAGCATAGGAATTCGTTCATTCCCCCCCCCCCAAATATGCTCAGGCCCCCCACAAGGTCTGAGGGACCGTGGGCTGGCCCCCTGCTGAAAAATTTTGCTGACTCCTGGCCTAGAATATCACACTGACAGGGGTGGTGACTTAACCCCACATTGAGGGGGCTCGGTGTCACGTGACCCGTCCTGCCTCTACCTGGCATGCCAGTGCTCGCCTCTTGGCGGTGGCCAGTGAGGAGGGTGAAAATCACCCTCCGCACCTCTCTCCACCCTGGTGGGCCAGCGCTTGCCCAATGGCAGCAGGGAATGCAGAGAGCGAAAACCACCCTCCGTGCCTTCTACCCCCACCCAGTAGGCCAGTGCTTGCCCGTCTGCATGGAGAATGCTAAGGGTGAAAATCATTCTCTACGCTGGCCTAGCTGGGTACAAGAATCATTGCGCAGTGCTGCCCAGCTGAGGAGAGAAGCAGCAGTGCTGCCGCAACCCTTCTGCTTCTCTCCGCCTCCCAGGTCAGACCTGACCCAGGGAGAGGCGGAGTTAGCAGCACACAGGCTGTGCACCCAGAGGCGGGGCTAGCCACCCATGGGGGCAGGGCAAGCGTCCCAGGGGGGCACCGCGAGTGGCCCCTCAGGGATGACACCCGGGGCGGACAGCACTCACTGCACCCCCTTCCTCTGCCAGTGGACCCAGAAGCAGAGTTACAGCTTGGCGCAAAGGAGCTGTACAGCCCTGTACAGGAGAGGGGGGGATGAGAGGGGATGGTGGGGGAAGAATATTGGGGAGGGGACTCAGCCCCCTGCCCAGAAATATTGAGGGAGCTGAATCTCCGTCCACCCCTATCGTTGGTGCCCCTGCGCACTGCTCAGACATTGGGGTGGTGTGCAGCGATATTAGATGGTGAAATAGGCATCTTATCTGCGGGGGACTCCATTTTCCTGTCCAGCTGATCAGCACACAGGGATCATCAAGTTCATGTGGCAGCTTGCTGTTGATTTAGATCAGAGTTCCAGGAAACAATAGAAACAGCCTTTCATAATTGCATAATGATGGGGGTGCCAACTTGAATAAAATATTCAAGTATCCCAGGTAAACCCTGCCCTGCATAATAGATCCTAGGACACACACACTATTTGAATGGCAGTGTGTGTGTGTGTGTGTGTCAGCTCTCTCAAATATTTTAGGGTGGAGAGGGGGTCGAAGGGACTTAGGCCCCTAGGAGTTGGCTCCTATGCTTAATGACATCACAAGTTGATCTAACATAATTTACTGAAATCAGTCTCCTTTGATTTAAAAGTAAATTGTTGACCAGAAGCTTACAGTATAACTCATAGTATCATATGCATATTGAAAGATGGGCTGATCAAGGCAGTAGGCCATGTTGTTCAATTGGGAAATGTTTGATCTGTTCTTCATTTAGCAAGAATTGGGAAGTTAACTGCGATGCTCTGAAAGAATGATACCCCCCCCTTGAAAAACTTTTATGAATAAAACTGATGTCCACATTTGTCATTAAAAATAATTCAGTTCCAAGTTACTCTAAGAAAAGGTTTTAGCACACTTGTGTCAATAAGTGAACTACAAAAATAGTTAAGTGAAAACTCTGACACTTGTTAAGGAAATCAGTCTCTGTATTTGACCTTGTTATTACTGAAGATGGTATGTTAAGTGCTAGGCTACCACCTTGTGGCAGAAGTGATATTTTTGTGTTTGACTTTAGCTACAGCTGGAGTTCGAACATTTAAAACGGCTTGATGAAGAAGAGAGAATGAAATTGGAGGAGAAAAGAAGACTCCTGGAAGAAGAAATTATTGCATTCAATGACAGAAAAGCTGCCGCAGAAATAATCCAAGGGAGGCCACTGCCCCCTACGCCCACTGTTGGTTATAAAAAAGATAAGGATCGGAAAAAGTAAGTAATCAATTCCATAAAATCTTAGGATTTGGATTTTAGGACAGGGTACACTGTCCGGTTCAGATAAATATTTTAAGCAGTATAAATTAATCGGGTACCAAATATGGAAAAAAACCCGTTTTGTATTAACTTGTTCAAAACTGTCTTACTGATACTATCAGACACTTTTACGAGAACTCTTCTTTTTAATATTTGTCCTAAGGGATCAAGGTTTTCGGCTTGAGCTCCTGTGCTTTGATGTCAGAGATCAGGAATTTGTGAATATACAGGAGGAGAGAGAGAAAGAGAGATTAGAAAGGGAACGAGCCCACAGGGAGCACCATGAATAGAATTTGGAAGCAGTTTGAAAACGTTATATGGTTAAGGTATGTTACGTTTAAAAATCATAGAAAACAGATCCATATGGCCACAATGTGTTTTTTTCATTCCTAGTAATATTCTGAAATTCACAAAAGTCTTTGTGGCGATGACAGAAGTTATTACAGAATTATAAACAACCTCAAACAAACATTGTGGAGAAGGGGGTTCTTGCTGCGCTAAGGAATAACTATGCTAAGCAATTCATTTTAATGCTAGAAATCTGCCTTTAAATGATGACAAGGTCATTAAATGATCAGAAGTATCATCCTCTCAGTAGTGACTGTTGGGCAACATAGAACAATTTCCACAAACTTGCACAGCAGAAATCTGATTACACCATGTGACTTTCTTTTCCCCTACCTCCAACTCCTTGCACGCCCCCCCTTTTTTTTTTAGAGGAGTGGTCCCCCTGCTGAGAATAGTGTATATAAAAGGACATTTCTTTTAAGCTGCACTAAACAGCAGATTTTGGGCTGCAGGGGACAGAAGGAGAAACTCCACGGAATGGACAGACACCAATTCACACTGCATTTACTCTCACCTGTGAATTTAATTCAGGGGTCAGCAACCTTTTTCTGCTGTGGGCCACTCCACCGTCCCTCAGACCATGTGGTGGGCTGGACTATATTTTGAAAAAATAATAATGAACGAATTCCTATGCCCCACAAATAACCCAGAGGTGCATTTTAAGTAAAAGGACACATTCTACTCACGTAAAAACACGCTGATTCCTGGACCGTCCGCGGGCCGGATTGAGAACCCCGGGCCTTAGGTTGCCTACCCCTGATTTAATTCAGCCTTGAAATACATTCATGGAAATTACTAAATATTCAGTTATCAGGGCACATTCCGAAGGGATATGATGCAAACACTTTGCTGAAACTAAGCAGGTTTGAGTTTGATCAGTGACTGGATTGGAATCTGTCAGGGAAACCCATGTCCACCACCAATGAAAGAAAGGTAGGAAGAATAGCCACATATTAAATAAATACAATTTAGCAACTACTTTTAATACTTCAGAAGCCTGTGTACCTGTTTTAGTCATTTGTTGCTATCACATCAGGGAGAAGGCTAAGCTGTAAGCCTTCATGTGCCATTGAGTTTTGGATGAAAGAACTGTTAAACCAAGGGACGTTCATTGTAGTCTGAAGTGATTCAGTCAAAGAAAGTCTGTACCATGGTGATATTTCTCTACCTTTGAGTCAGTTCAAGTTCTCTCTATTTGGTATTCATCAAAATAAATATAAATACATGGAAGACAAAAGCTTTAATACTTTATGAATAGTCTTTGCTTTCTGTAGAGAAAAGGTATACCTAATATAACTCCTTCTGTTTCAGCTTTGACTTTATGTGAAAGAAGAATAAATACAAGAATAAATTCTTCACAGTTCTCTATGAAGAAACTTGGGTCACCTTCCCCCATTTTAATGCAAGTTAACTTGAAAACTGACTCCTGTTGAACAAAGGGAAAAGTATATTAAAATGTATAATTAGTATCACATAATGTACTGTAGGTTGTTGTATTAAAATATATAAAATGACAGTTCTTTTAAGCTATTGATGTGCATTTAAACTGTGGCCAAGCTGTACTCACTTTAAGTGCTGTACCTAAGATCACTGTGCCACAAAATGATTTTTATTTGTGTTATGAATACTCCTAGCATAGAAATGATTATATATTGCAACTGTTTTAAAGAACTGCTGCTTCTTGAATGTGTTAACTGCATATCAATGAATATCCCCATTTGAAACATTTATTGAACTGAATAAAATATGCAAACCTGTTTCAGAAAACATTTTCTTTTCTGAAAATGTTTTTTTTTAATAAATGCACATTCTAGCTCTGTGATAAGCTTAAATCAAAATGGACCATGATTGCCTTTGCAACGGCAGTATTCATGCAAACATATGCTTTTCTTGAAAATAGATATTGAGAAGTATTGAGAAGGGAATCTGGTGTTCCAAGAAAAGTCAAAACCCCACTGGACTAGGGCAAGCCCCCTTGTACGAGGTTAGGCCCAGGAGTTCTTTGCAAACAGATCTCTACAGACAATCCATAAATCTGCAGAGTGACATTCTAAATATGAATGTGCCCTTTAAAAACTGCCTCGAGAAAGTTCAAATGGTGAGTGGTACATATCTTTAAAGCAATGGCAAGAGCTCTTAATGACCTTCCTTGCTAAATTGCTGAAATGGGGATGCGGGTGGCGCTGTGGGTTAAACCACAGAGCCTAGAACTTGCCGATCAGAAGGTCGGCGGTTCGAATCCCCGCGGCAGGGTGAGCTCCCATTTCTTTGTCCCTGCTCCTGCCAACCTAGCAGTTTGAAACAAAGTCAAAGTGCAAGTAGATAAATAGGCACCACTCCAGCGGGCAGGTAAACGGTGTTTCCGTGCGCTGCTCTGATTCACCAGAAGCGGCTTAATCATGCTGACCACATGATCCGGAAGCTGTACGTCGGCTCCCTCAGCCAATAATGCGAGATGAGCGCCGCAACCCCAGAGTCGGCCACGACTGGACCTAATTGTCAGGGGTCCCTTTACCTTTACCCTGCAACTGGGAGTAGCACAAATTGTTTTGTCAAAGCAGGTTTTTGATATGCGATGGCTGGTTATAGATGAGGAAGAGTGTGATAACTTAAGGCAGATGGCAGAGAGAGTTATCACTCAGACTGACATTTCGGAAACACATTTTTATGTCCTGCACCATGTCACTGAGACTATGGTTAGTAAAATAATCCCAGAGCCTTCCATTAGACTTCACAGTAAAGGGAGACCTGAACTTACAATAGAGTTGGAACAAAATGAACAAAAGTGTTTGGTTGCGGGTAATACACACCTATGATGTGCTTACTTTTCTTTCTGCTGTGTGGCGCTTAAGGAATCTGGGAGAAATAATAATTGAAAAGTGGGCAGTATTTTCAGTTCAGCTATTTTTAGCTGAATGAAAATTCCCTGGTCAGGCCTACTCTTCCCAAATTCAGAAATATTTGAAGAAGAAGAAAACAGAGCGCAGAGCTGTCAGTTGCAAGTCAACTGCCTTTTCAAGGTTATATTTTTAAGACACTTTTACTGTAGTGATTTTTTTTAAAAAAAGAGATCACAGTATTTGTAGATGAAAGTCCAGCAATAGGTTGGCAGGAAGGGAGCTGGCCTACAAGCTTTGTTATATAAAAAGCAAAGGCGTTTTTTAAAAAAAATCTTATCAGGGCAATACCCCTGGTAGGACAACCAAAATATCACAAAATAGTGTGCAAGTCTCCTTTTTTTGTATATATTAATTGTTTTCTTAAAAATATATATATAAAAGTGCAAACCAAATAGAACTGTAATTTGTAAGCGGAAAAAGGGAACCTTATTAATGGCTGAGAAAACACAATCCTCATCCGAAACCTGCCTAACCAGCAATCCGTATAAATAAGACAAGCGAAGTAAATGTGATGAATTAGACACCATACCAAGCCCATAATGTAAAGCAGGGGGGGGGGGAGGAGATGGGAGGCAAGATAAAGAAAGAATACTGCAAGCAACCAAATATATGAAAGTATGAGGTAGATCCTGGAAAGGGAAAGTAAAAGATGATAACATTGGCAGAATTAAGCATTCCAAATATTCTCGTAGTATTTGTTTTTGAAATGGCAAGGAAAACTCTCAGTTACTGAGTCAGTTTCTCCATGAATGCTATATACCATACCCTGTGATACCAATAAACACAAATCTTTCCAATGTTTGACCATAGTCAACCCAGCTGCCATCAACTAAGTGGTTAATTAGGTCCTGATCTTTGAGGTCTGCACCTGTGTTAAATGCAAGCTTTTGAGTTCCCCAGGGCTCTTCATCTGGGTAAATGGTGAACAGAGCAAGCAAGCAAGCGAGGGAGGAGAGGAAGAAAGTTTGCTGAGTTGAAGCCACAGAATCTTCATCATTTAGGAGACCTAAGATGGAAACAGCAAGAAGGTAAGAGACATTCAGATAACAATGTTATGTGGTAGGCAGATTGCACCCAAGGCTTCTAGGAAGAAACAACATATAATGGTTGATGCCCTGTATTTGAAAATAAAAATTCAGCCGCTAACCAGATCCACCTCCACCTTTAGGCAAAACTCATAAGTTCCTTAATACAGTAGTGGAAAATAGGAATAAAGAGAAGTTAGGCAGCTTGTATATTAACAAAGCGGGAATTAACTATATTTCCTGGCCAGTTGTTTTTTGTTAGTGGTCACTCCCAACTGCATTGTTCCTGGGCACATCCTGTTTGTTCTGTAACATTTCATTGCTTTGCCCTGTAAACATTAGTGAGACACATTAATGCCTTCAGTACACCAGTCTAAGTTAATCTAGCATTTCCATGTTCCATATCTAGTAATACAAAAATTCAAAGTGGATAGGGAATTTGCTATAATTTCTTTTGGTAGGCTTCTGATGTCCAAACTCACGTTGTTAAACTAACTATGCATACCATTCACCAGCAGATGCTGCTCAACAGCCACTGTTTCATCGCTTCCTATTGCACAATCCTTGCAAACGAGCAATGAAATGCCCTAGATATTTTTCTTCATTTTAATTAACAGTTTTATGTAATCTACATCCTAACCCTTTGTGTATTATTCATACATTTAAATGCTAAAATCAGTAGCTTCCTCTAGGCTTCGAGATGTATTTATGGATTGATTCAGTGCTTAAATCCAAAACACCTATGAATAAAAGATTGTTCTCTCGTCTCATGATATGGATGATCAATCAGGCTGGCAGGGCAAAAGCGTGCTGGAGCCAGATGATTTTGGCCATTCAGCAGGAGGTCACTTGTAAAGAGCCTTGATGGGCCTGCCTGAGAAGGCAGTTGCAGAGCTTAGATGTGGCAATTCAGAAGGTCATATTGCACATTCACACTAAACACACAAGCGTGAGGGAATTGTGGAACAATTAGCCTCACATAAACAACATGCTTGAGTCTCCTTAATGCAGGCACCT